ATGCAGGCAGAACACCCATGCACATAAAGTAAAAATAAAGGTAAGTTATCAGGAGAGATTGCTCAACAGCTGGAGCGCTGGTTATTCTTTCAAAGGATCCAGGTTTGAGTCCCAATACAAACATGGCAGCCCAACCCCTATAACTTCAGTCCTAGGGGATCCAATGCCTTCTCTGGCCACCATGGGCACTAAACCCTTGTGCTATACAGAAATATATGCGGGTGGAACACTCATACATATAAAATAAAAATAAAGGTTAAAGGTCAGGTGGTGATGGTGCATGCCTTGATTCCTAGTACCAGCAGGCAGATCTCTGAGTTTGAGGTGAGCCTGTCTAGAGAAGAGAACAAGTTCCATGACAGCCAGGGCTACACAAAGAAGGTTAAAAAACTTTTTTAAAGGTTAAAAAATTTTAATACACACAGAATCAGTATTGGGTGAAATAATAAATGCCTGGTGAAGACTTTCCAGTTCAGTCCCACACTCCTGTAATGAGCCCCATCTATGCTCTGTGAGCAAGCCAGATCAACTCATTGGTTTTTCAGGATGTACTTTGGCTTCTCATCAGGGCTGTATAAAGAAGGAGTATAGGAGGCCAAGCCATTGTGGTGGCACATGAGTATAATCCCACTACTTAGGAGGCAGATGCAGGCAGATCTCTGTGAGTGGAAGGTCAGCATGATCTACAGAGCTAGTTACAGGACAGCCAGGGAGAAATAGACATAGAGGGACTCTGCCTAGAAAAAAAAAAAGGTTGAGTTTTCAGGTTATGAACAACTGACCTGTTCCAAAGCTGTGTTTTGACTAATATATATTCTTCTGTTTCAGGTTTAATTTGGACCAAAAAAAGCCAGAGCATTGCCAAAGACTATCATTTCTGCCTGAAAAGTGTGTAGATGGAACCTCAGAGCTTAGAAGAGCTCTCAAAGTGAGAAGAAATATTCATGAGATTGGGAAATCCTCTTCAAACTGCCTATCTGTGAGATCAGGTTTTCTTTTCTTTTTTTTTTTTTAAAGAAGATTTATTTATTTATTATGTATACAGAAGAGGGTGCCAGATCTCATTACAGATGGTTGTGAGCCACTATGTGGTTGCTGGGAATTGAACTCAGGACCTCTGGAAGAGCAGTCAGTGTTCTTAACCTCTGAGCCATCTCTCCAGCCCCGAGATTAGTTTTCTTTATATGCTTCAGTCGAAACAATAAACCATAATAACTCAGAAACAAATGCAAGAATCTGTCTACCATTTTGCTGTTCTATTTGCACTACACATTTCTTGGTTTGAACAAATATATTTACTTTCTATAAAAAAAAATAAAAGATGTTAGCCATGCCTAGCCATGCCCTAGGGGGATCTTTGTGAGTTGAGGTCAGCCTTGCCTACATACTAAGTTCCAGGACATCCAGGGCTACAAAGAGAAACTCTGACTCAAAAAACCAAAATAAATAAATAAATAAACAAATGATGTTGTGGCTACAGCAACTGTAGCTCAGTGACTGTTGTGAGACATTATTTCGGGGGAGATCTAAACAATCATCTACTTTCTCCCAGATAAGGAATCAAGTACAAATCAAAATTCCAACTTTGTAGACAAACACATTTTATTTGGGCTATTTACAGAAGCAGAAATGACTCACAGCTATATCGCTAAAAGCCTGCCCCAGAATCGGTGATGGCTTTCCACATTTGAAACATCAAACAATCTGCAGGCAGCTAGACATTTTGGAGAGTATCTATTCCAGGGAGCTTAGCTGGTCTGAGACTCTTCCAAGCATCTCTGCTAGCCTCTTCTAGGCCTCTCAACTTACCTGAGAGTGTGGATCAGCAGTCCTTACTACTTACATAAGGTTGAGGAAGGAGAGGGCGAATACATTTAAACAGTTTCAGGTTGCTTCCTCCCTAATTTTAGGAGCTTACCTGCAGGATGGAATGCTTCATTTCCCTTTAGTTGACAGTGGTTCTCAACCTCCCTAATCCTTTGACCCTTTAAGTTCCTCATGTTATGGTGACCTCCAACCATAAAGTTATTTTTGTTGCTACTTCATAACTGTAATTTTGCTACTGTTAGCCGGGTGGTGGTGGCGCACGCCTTTAATCCCAGCACTCGGGAGGCAGAGCCAGGTGGATCTCTGTGAGTTCGAGGCCAGCATGGGCTACCAAGTGAGTCCCAGGAAAGGCGCAAAGCTACACAGAGAAACCATCTCAAAACAACAACAACAAAAATTTGCTACTGTTAAGAATTGTAATGAAAATACCTGATATGTCTGGTGATATATTGTGCACCCCAATACAACTTATCTGGGTTTCAGAGGACAGAGCCAGCCACTAGATTAGACATAGAGGCCAGACAGTGGTGGCACACACCTTTAATCCCAGCACTGGGAAGCACACACACCTTTAATCCCAGGAAATGACATGGCTGGGCAGAGAAAGGTATGTAAGTCATGAGGAAACAGGAACTAAAGCAGTGCAGCTGAGATGATTTTGGGTGAAGACTCAGAGGATTTCAGTCAGAGGATTTGTGGAGTTGGTAAGGAACTAGGTGGTGGCTGTGGCTTTTTCTGCTTCTCTGATCTTTCAGCTTTTACTCCTATATGTGGTACCGGGTTTTTTATTAAAAGACCATCTAAGATTTGAACAACAGGGCTCTCGACCAACAGGTTGAGAAGCACTGCTTTAGCACATCCTAAGTCTCAACGAACCTCTCTCCAAGATAGTATGTTTTATCTTGGAGGAAACGACTACACAATAGTTAATAGAGGGCATTTTTTGTATGAGCAAGGCAAGTAGGACCCTGTGTTCAATTCCCAGCAAGAGAGAAAGCAAAAGTGAGAGATTAAGATTACTCTTGGGGTGTTGGTGGTCCACACCTTTAATCCCAGTACTCAGGAAGCAAATGCAGATGTATCTCTGAGTTCAAGGCCAGCCTGGTGTACAGTACAAGTTCCAGGCTGTAAGCATGCACTGGGCTTACTGTCACTCCTCTTCGGGGGACAGGGTCTTATTGTGTAGCCATGGACGGCCTGAGATTTGCTTTATAAACTAGGCTTGCCATGAGCTTTTGACAATCTCCTGTCTTTGTTTCTGAAGTCCTGGGACTACATGCCACAAAGCGATGCTTGGTGTGGAATGACAGGTACTGACACTCTTCTGAAAACCTTGTGTAATACACATTTGCCAGGGGCAGACAAGACACAGGGATTACCCTGCTCTACAGCCCTTTCCTCTGGGAATCTAGGAACTCTCAAAAAGTTTTCAAGTTATTTGGGGTGGTGAACACCTGTAATCCCAGGATTTGGAAAGTAGAAAGAAGATCAGGAGTGCAAAATCATTATTGGCTACAATAGCACATGTGAGGACAGCCTGTGCTAAGTGAGGCCCTGTCTTTAAAAAAAAAAAAAGGAAAAAGGTTTGGGGGAGAATTCTCCAGCAGTAGCCATCTTTGACAGCTGTGATGGTACCTGCCTACAGTTCCAGAAGGTGAGGTACAGGCAGGAGCACACCAAGTTCCAGGTCAAACTGGGCTATATGGGGACATTCTATTTCAAGCACAAAAGAAGTAGCTACACTGGAAAGAAAAAGAAAGAAAGAAAGAAAGGAAGGAAGGAAGGAAGAAAGAAAAAAGAAAAGAAAAGAGAAAGAAAAAAGCCCTCCATTCTTGGGACTATTCATTTTGAAGGGCTCATTGTGCAGCTCAGGCCAGCCTGGAACTCACTGTATTGACTAGGCTGGCTTTTAACTCACAGAGTTCTGCCTGCCTCTGCTTTCCAGGTGCTGGGATTAGAAGTGCATACCACCTACATCTGGGTTTTATGTCGTCCAGGCTGTCCTGGAACTAGGTAGTTCAGGCTGGCCTTGAAATTCTGATGCTCTGTGTTCTGAATTACTGGTATTGTAAATACCACCACCACATGCGGATAATGAGACCATACAAGACTATCCTCAGAGCCAAACTGCCATCATTTTCAGGACTCTGGCTGGGTCTGCAGGTAGAGTATCACCTCAGCTGGGCTTGCTGACTATTGACTTAACCTTATAGGAGGAGAGGTTGTGGACTGTCAAGGGACCCTCACCTGAGTATCCAGCTGCTCCCCTCAACCAGTTGTATACAATTCTTCCCTAATAGCACTTGGCCTGGGATCTCCAGGAGGCACTAAAATATATAGGTGGAGGATGACTTGGGTAGGGGGCTCCATCTATGAGGCTATCGGAGAGCTAACACCTATGCTGGCTAAACACTTTCCAGTGGGGCTTCTGGGGTGATTTATCCACACTCCTGTAAGTAATTCCTCACCTATGCTCTATGAGTAAGTCCAATAAATTCACTGGAGCCCAAGGGTGAGCTTTGATGGCATAGCACCTTGGTTTATCATTGAGATCTTAGGGAAGAGATTTGTAACAACCAAGACATTCTTAGATTCTGTCCAACTCCTGTCCTTTTTACTGGCACTTGCCTAGAGGACGGTCCATCATCTTCACCGTAAGTCCTACAGTGTAAATTGAAGTGGTAGTTCCCTGACACCACTACTGAGCCTGGAAATAGTGGGGGGATGCTGGAATTTTTGAGGAAGTTCACAAAGTTACCGCCCACTGTTTTCGGCAGTCTGGTGTAGACCTGGGCCTACATGTTACACACCAGTTTATTGTGTCTCTCCTTCTAAGAACTCTGCCGCAAGAACGCGTTATTTACTCTCGCATACACTGCGCAGGTGCTAACCTAGAGCCCCATCCAGGCGCGTAATCTTTCCACGGGAAACAGGTAAGTGAAGAAATTCAGCCAATCCTGAGGGCTCTGGGGTCAAAGAAGGCGGGATGAGGAAGAAAAGTTTAGGACAGGAGCAACAACCAATCGTGAGCCTCGACGCCTGAACGATGGCAGAGACTGCCCATTTGGAGAAGCCGGTTATCGAGGGGCGGGGTAGTGCATAGTGAGCCAATCCACGACGGGAGAGGGCGAGCTTGAGCCAATTAGGGCAGCGAAGGTGGGAAGGGGCGGAGCTTTCCTGGTGGCTGCTAGGTCGTGGGTGAGGGCTCAGCTTTCTCTTCTAGTTCCTACGCTGGGAGTCCTTATCCCTGGAATGCGAGAGGGAGAGGCGCAGGAAGTTCCGGGACCGGGGCGTGAAGGCATCGCCCGGGAAAGCTTGGGCGCGAAAGACAGTCCTAGTTGGATGAGTCACTGGAAGGCACCGGCTGGGACCGAGGAAGCAGAGGCTGGTTAGGAGGCGGGACTTCCGGGGGGCAGGGCTTTTTCGAATAGGGGCGGGGACGATCCCTAAGGTTAGGTCCAGGGGGCGGAGCCAACAGATCTTTGGGTGTGACCTGGGAGAAAGAAGGGCAGTTAACTGAAACACGGTTTGGGGGGCATGTGTTGCCAGAGGCCTTGGGTGGTAAGCCCTAATTAAGGGCTGACGTGGAGGTTGCTGTGGAAGTTACCTGCCCTAACTCACTGTCTTTTCTTCCCAGGGAGATACTGGTGGGGAACTTTCTTGGGCACCCTTCCCTTCTTGGGGTGCTATGGAGTTCCCAGAACACAGTCAGCAGCTGCTTCAGAGCCTGCGGGAGCAACGGTCCCAGGGTTTCCTTTGTGACTGCACTGTGATGGTTGGTAGCACCCAGTTCTTGGCCCATCGGGCTGTGCTGGCCTCCTGCAGCCCATTCTTTCAGCTTTTCTACAAGGAGCGGGAACTGGACAAGAGGGATCTGGTGTGTATTCACAATGAGATTGTCACAGCCCCAGCCTTTGGGTTGCTTCTGGACTTTATGTATGCTGGCCAGCTGGCACTTAGGGGGGATACCCCTCTAGAAGATGTGCTGGCAGCTGCCAGCTACTTGCACATGAATGACATCGTTAAGGTGTGTAAACAACGGTTGCAAGCCCGGGCTCTGGCAGAGGCAGACAGTACCAAGAAGGAAGAGGAAAGCAATCCTGCCACTATGGAGTTTTTGTCAGGCAGTTCTCGTGGCCCCCAGCCTTTACTGGCATCTGTTGAGCAGTCAGCCCGCTGGAGCAAAGAGGAATGGAAGGGTCCAGCCACCCCCTTACCTATTGCTCATTCTGCAGATGAGGCACCAGTGTCTGGTGGAGCTGACACTACACAACCTAGCATGGAAGTTGACTCACCACATCTGCGAGCACCTCCCCCACCCGTGGCTGACGTCTCTGTCTCTCTTGCCAGCCCCAGTAGCTCTACAGAGACCATTCCTGTAAACTACTTCTCTTCTGGCCTTCCAGCAGTTTCAGTGGAGCCCTTGACTCCTCTTGATGTGGTTCCGGAGAGTCTGAGGGTGGTGGAACCAAGGGATACTGGAGGTTCATTGCAAGGCTTCTATCCTCCAGCTCCGGCCCCGCCCCCAGCTCCGGCCCCAGTTCTGTCCCAGCCTCCAGCCCCAGTTGAAGCTGAATTGGTCCAGGTGAAAGTAGAAGCTATTGTGATCTCTGATGAGGAAACTGACTTGTCAGAGGAACAGCCTCAGGGGCCTGAAGGGCTGTTCCCACCTGGAGGTGCAATGTACGGGGGACAGCCTTCACAGCCAGACACTTTTGAGGAGCCGGGGGCAACAGGCCTAGAGGAGATGGGGCCGAGCGACCACTTCCTGCCTCCAGAATCTCATCTACCGTACCATCTGCTGCCAGGTCCAGGGCAATATCATCGAGGACTGGTGACCTCACCCCTGCCTGCACCCCCGGCCCTGCATGAGCCACTTTACCCTCCTTCTGAGTATGAAGCAGCTCCAGGGAGCTTTGGGAGTTTTACAGAGGATGTTCCCACCTGCAAGACATGTGGAAAGACCTTCTCATGCTCTTATACACTACGACGACACGCCACCGTGCACACAAGAGAACGACCCTATGAATGCCGCTATTGCCTACGCAGCTACACACAGTCAGGGGACCTCTACCGCCACATCCGCAAGGCTCACAATGAGGACCTGGCCAAACGCAGCAAACCAGACCCAGAGGCTAGCTCCATTCTAGGGGTGCAGCCCCTCCCTGGCTCCCAAACAACAGAGAGACAAAGCAGTGGTGGTGGAGGACCACCCAAAGATTTTGTACTTGGTCCTAAAAATTAACATCTGGGGAGCATGAACTGATGCCAGGCCTGCTCTTACTTTGTTAAGATGGCCACAGAGAAGGTTGGAGGCATCTCATCATTCCTACGGGGTGGCAGGATGAAGGTTCTTCCCAAGCTGAAGGTGTTTACCCTTTTCTTTGTCCAGCCAGATAAGCAGGACATTATGGGGGCAGAGCAGGTCAGCCAGGATTCTCCAAGGGCACTGGGAATTTTTCCTGAGGTGTAACTGCTTCTCATTTCACATTCTGGAACATAAAACTAGCAGTGAAATTATCCCTTTGAACTGGTGTTGGCTGGTTTCTTCCACAAGTCTGCATGTGTTCATGTCTGCCCTCTGGGTCTTTTATTTGACACCTGCATTGGGTAAGCATGTGGGTCTGGTTGCTTATGAGGCAAAAAGTGAAATAGGAAGGGAGTGCAAATAGGGAATCTTACACATGGATTGCTGCAGTTGAACTTGTGTGTTCTGGGCTATATTGGGCACTTCGTGTACTCACTTAATCCTTGACAACTTCTGGGGAGTAGTAGCCCCACCCCCTTTCAGATACAAAGAAACTTGAGACTCAGGAGGACTCGTTCATTTGTTTAGGGTCATAGAGCTGGTTAAGGAGAAAGCTAGGATTTGAACTTGGCTAGTGACTCCAGATAATAATGGTGATGGAGCCATGCTGGTTCACAGTAACGTTCACAGCAGGTAGTTAGCCAACAACCAGTTGTCGTCTTTCTTTCTTTTAAAGATTTATTTATTTGCCATGAGGTGGTGGCTCATACCTTTAATCCCAACACTGGGAAGCAGAGGCAGATCTCTGAGTTCCAGGATGGCCCGGGCTACACAGAGAAACCCTGTTTTGAAAAACAAAACAAAATTTATTCTTTTATATGTATGAGTTTTTGGCTACATGTATGTCTGTGTGGCACATGCATGCCTGTTATCTGCTGAGGCTACAAGAGGGCATTGGATCCTCTGGAACTGGAGTTATGGATGGTTATGAATCACCCTGTGGGTGCTGGGGATTGAACCTGGGTCCTCTTGAAGAACAACAGGTGATCATAACCACTGAGCCATCTCTCCAGCCCCAGAAGTTCTTTTCTTATTCTTTTGAGTGCTTGGCTTTGTTCCCTTACCTTGTCTCTTCTGCATTGGACCTAGAAAGATCTTTGGTTGGGTGTTTTGACAACAGACACTGTATTGATAACTTGGAAATTTTTGCCTTTTTGTGAATCTGAATTGAGGTCTCTGAAGATGAGAAACTGGTGAGAGAAAACAGTATGCTTTATGAAGAGGGACTTTTATGGGATTTTCAATACCTGAAGAGGAATTGAAATGACAGCTGCTTGGGAAAGCTAAGGCAGGAAACCCCATGAGAATTTTATAGTCATCTAAGACCCTTACCTCCAAAGTGTGGGACTGGAGACTGATTGGAGACTGATTGCTCACCTAGCCTGGGACCCTAGGGGTTTGATCCTTAGCACTCCAAAAAGAAAGTAAAGTTGTGATAACAGCAGCCTAAAAAGCTTGAAGCACTCACAAAGTTATATAGGTAGTTTCTGGCAATAGAGATAGTAAAAAAGGAGAGTTTGAAGTGTTGAGTTAGGATATGGGAAAGAGCTCAATGTAAATGAAGCAACTTTCCAGGCTGTGAAGAGTGGAGCTGTAGAGCGGATTAGCCAGCTGCCCTACAAACATCCTCTCTTGGCACACAAAGCCCTAAATGCAAATCAAGCAGGAAGGAAAACTGAAAAAGGTCAAAATAAAAGCAGGCTTTCTTGACTTCTTTGCCCTCCTCTGGGGTCTGTGTCACACTGGGGACTGTAGGCTCTTCCAGCTGCACCACTGCTGTTTTTGAGATAGAAGGAGACTTAACAGTGAAGATCTGGCCAGAGAAAGCTCTCTTGATGAGGCATTATGGGAAGCAAGAGTTGATGGGTTTTTGTTTTGTTTTGCTGGTGAGAAAATTCTAAAGCTGGGTACAAGCACAATGGCAGCTACTGCTAATCCTAGCCACTTGGCAGGTGAAGGAAGCTAGTCTGAGGGGAAAAGGAAGACCCATCTTCCCCATAATGAAGAATAAATTGTATACTTGTCACACTCCTCTTCCTCCTCTTTGGATCCTTCCTCCCTTCCCTTTTTGGAGACAGGGTCTCTTGTAGCCCAGTCTGGCCCTGAACTTGCCCTCCTTCCTGATCCACTTGCCTTTAGCCCCAAGTTCTGATGTTATAGGCATGTACTACTATGCCTACCTCCTTGGGCTTTTGAGACAGGGTCTTGCTATGTACAACAGGCTAGCCTGAAACTAGATCTTCTGCCTTAGTCTTACAGTACAGTATGTCCAGCCAGGTCCAGCTCACATTCCTTATATTAGAGTAACTGTCTACCAATTGTATTTATGCAAATGTATTCTTGCCTTAATTCCTCCAAGAAAGGGCAAAATAAAAATAATAAAATGTATTCTAGGTGAGTGGAGCACCTTTTCCAGTCTTTCCTACAGTAAATAGCAAAAAGCCTGTAAGAACTAGTTCCCTTCAAGAGGGTGAGTTTTATAGTTTTTGATTTCTCATTTAAAGAAGTGGGGGGGAGGGGGGACTGTGTTGAAAAAAGTATGTTGCCTCCCTCTGTTGGGAGGCAGAGGCAGGCGTATTACTGTGAGTTCGAGGCCAGCCTGGTCTACAGAGCAAGATTCAGGACATCCAGGGCTCCAAAACTACACAGAGAAACGCTGTCTCGAAAGAAAAAAAAAAAACACGAACAACAAAACTATGTTGCCTTAGAATATAAGTTCCTCAAAGTAAGGAACAATGTCCTTACGGAACTGATGTAGATTCTCTAAAACAGCCTGAGTAACAGGCACTACTGGGCTAGTCAGGTCGCAGCCTTTGGCCAATACTTACCTGAAGAGTCAGTGGGAGAATATGTGCCTAGCATGTAGGAAGCCCTGGATTCCATTCTTAGAACAGAAGGAGAAAGAAAAAACCCACGAATAAGTAAATACACCTCCAATTTTAAAGATGAGTGGCACTTGCCAATAGTTCTAGCTACTTCAAAGGCTTAGGCAGAAGGCTCACTTGAGCTCAGTAGATTGGGCTAGCCTGGGCAACTTAAGAAGAACCAGTGTGTAAAGAATATAGCTGATGTGCTGGCTCATGCCTATAATCCTAGCACCTGGGAGACTGACACAGGAGGATTCCCATGATGTCAAGGGCAGCAAAGGCTACAGAGACATTAAAAACTTAAAAATATATTAAAATCATTTTGGGGCAGTATTAGGCAAGAGCTCTATCACAAAGCTACACCCTTAACATATTGACTAAACACTAATATAGGTAATATGTAAATAGAATTTGAGGCAAAACTATGAAGGTGGTGGGTCTCAATTTGGGGGATACAGTCTCAAACTGCCATTTATGTGTGATCCTTCACACACATCACAAAGGCTTTCTCTCCATTCAAAATCTTCAAATCTTCCCTCCACAAACTTCTGAACACAAATGTTTAGGGATCCTCTGTGGCTGACTCAAGATGTAGGCTTGTCAGACCTCTTCAAGACCTGAGTCAAGTTACCTTCCTTTGTCTCCTTTTTTGTTCCTTAAAGTCTCTGTGGGGAACTGGACTTCAAAATAAAAGCTGCCATATATGTCTGACCACCAGGTTAATGTTATCTCTTAGGAAGGCTAAGAAAATGATTAGCGAAATAAATTTCTAAGATGGACTGCGAATACCAGTTTTATTTTTTCCTCACTGATGTAGTGGACAGCTTAATTGAATATCAAATTTGTTCACAACAACCAGAAAGCAAAACCAGCTCCAAAGGAGTGAAACATGCCAGGATTAGAGCATTTGGGAGGCAGAGGTGGGAGAATCTGTGAGTTCAAGGGCAGCCTGATCTAGAGTGAGTTCCAGGACAGCCAGGGCTGTTACACAGGGAAACCCTGTCTTGAAAAACAAAACAAAAAGTGAAACATGCATGATGACAAAGATTTTAAATTAACGTGTAGACACAGATTGGACCTGATTCCCAAAAGACAAGTGGATATTTATAATTGAGAGGTAGTGTTGAGATTTGTACATGGAAATTTACTAAGAAGAAACTTCAGATAAGGGGTCTCTGACTAACCAATTGTGACAGGATTCATTCACCATGACAAGATTTTGCCAAACCAGTATAGGAATTTTTTTCCATCTATTTTGAGTTTTTAAGACATGATCTTGTTAGGGAAGCCCATCTAGTCTGCAATTCAGTATATAGCCTCATAGCAATCCTCCTGCCTCACCCTGAGTGCTGAGATTACAGGCATAAGCTAAGTTTAGCAAATTAAGACGCTTGGATGATAAAGAAAATATTCTACTTTACTTAGTTCTGTCTTTGGATTTTTTAGATTATTTGGTAGTAAGCCTTTTGTTGTACCTTGATGAATGTATTATTTAAATTATAGGGAGGAACAAAGAAGAGTAGTATATTGGCAGAGTTTGGGATGTTATTAATAAAGTAGACGGATGCCACCCCTAGAAACATAGTTGTATTATGATTACATGATAGCGAATGAGTGACACATGCTTATTATCTCCACTTATAATGGTAGAGGCCTGCTACATGGTCTTAGCTACTAATTGGCACCCATGACATAGACACAATCCACAGAGTAAACAGAATGACAAAGCAGCCATTGGCTGATGAACCCCACAGAGGCAGGACTGCACTAGATCTGCACCCTGAACCCAGGAGCAACACAGCTTCCCTAGGGTCCTATCAGGTGATTCCAAGACTAAGCAATAACTATGTTTGCTTGTAGTTTCCTTCCTCTGTGAGGGCCTGAGCTCAAAAATAGTGACAGATGACAAGGAGGCTTGGGTTCTGTCATGCTTTATTGTGATACTCTTTCAAGAAGATATTGTAATGTCTTTCAGAAAAATGAACACATTTTAGAAATGCATCTATTAAAAATTAAAACATGGACAGCCAGGGCTACACAAACCTTGTCCAAAATACAAAAACAAACAAAAACCACTTTGGGGCTGACTATGTAGCTGAATGATAGGGTGCTTGTCGAGCATGTATAAGACAGGTTCAAATCCTGTACCACACATACATACACACCATAAAAAGCCCACTAGCACAAGGACAGAGAGTTTTTAAATACTTTTAACTACTTAAGTGCTTGACTCCAGATTTTTTTAAAAAAAAAACAACAGGATTTCATGTATTCTAAGCTTTTACTTAAGTTTTAAAACAGAATAAAGACAAATAAGTTATACTATGTTAATGATCTGAGTATAAGCAATATCAAGGACTAGAAATTGCCAGGAGAGAGAAAAAAAAAAAAAAGGAAAGAGCTGGGTAGTGGTGGTGCACACCTTTAATCCCAGCACTCAGGAGACAGATTTCCCTGAGTTTGAGTTCAGTCTATTCTACAGAGACAGTTCCAGGACAGCCAAGGCTAGGCAGAGAAGCCCTGTCTTGAAGAAAACCAAAACCAACCAACCAAACAACCAAGCAAAAAGGAGATTAATTTAAATAACAGTTTGATTTTGTTGTTGTTTAGTTCATTATTTCTGCAGCACTGGGGAATCAAACCCAGGGCCTTGTACATGGTAGGTAAGCAGTCTACCACTGAGCTACATCCTCAGCCCCAAAACAATTCATTTCAAATCCTTAAATATACTTGGGCTCAATTTATATTCATCTAGTTTCACACACACACAATATTTCCCATGAGGGAAAACAAAGGCATCTGAGGAAACAGCAAAAGATTCCTTTCTGCCTGTCCTTCTACTTGACCCTTCACTGGCCCTCTCCTCTGTGTCTCAACACCTCCAATAACATCTCATTAAATGTACACCACAAATACAGTTGATGCCACCCATAGTGGACGAATGCTTTCTGGTCTGTTTCTAAAGGCAAATAATATGGATTGCAAGCCATACAAATATACTGGGGGATAGACAATAAAGGATGCAGATAGTCTAAGTCGCAAAGGGCTTGTGCAGAACAGGAACAATAGAAATCCACCTGGGTCAGAGGTAAAGGGTGAATTTCTCTTGCTGAGGCTCAGGTTTCTCTTGATGGGTCTTTAGTGGTCCACTTGATTTCAAGTTGAGAAGCATCCTTTTACTTCATTAACCAAACATGCCCAGATACAGCTGCTTCTCTTTCCTATGGTAGCTGCTGAGTTCTGACTGTGTCAACTGGAGGTACCGCCGGACATTGGCATCTTCAAAGACAATGGAAAAGGCAATTACAGATAGACCATAATGGCCCAATTGACCAGAGAGCACTGTTAGCACTCCCAGTTACTTTAATTCTCCAGAATCTGAATGTATCACAATTATTCCATGCAATAATAATTTCTATTACTTAATATGTCACTGTGAACTCCTTTTTTTTTTTTTTTTTTTTTTTTTTTCTGGGTTTTCAAGAAAGGGTTTCTCTGTGTAGCCCTGGCTGTCCTGAAACTCATTCTGTAGGCCAGGCTGGCCTGAAACTCACAAAAATCTGCCAGCCTCTGCCTCCTGAATGCTGGGACTAAAGGCTTGTGCCAACTGCACCTGGCTATTTTTTTATTTTTAAAGATGTAGTCTGCTGTGTTGTCCAGATTGGTCTTGAACTTACAGGGTAAGTGACCCTCTTGCCTCAGCCTCTCATAATAGTTGGGACTATAGATGTGTGCCGTTGTGCCTGCCCACTTAAGTAGCATTTCATTTGTATACCTGAAGTCAAGAAACAAAAACAAAGCTGGGCAGTGGTGGCGCATGCCTTTAATCCCAGCACTTGGGAGGCAGAGGCAGGCGGATCTCTGTGAGTTCCAGGCCAGCCTGGTCTACAAAGCGAGTTCCAGGAAAGGCGCAAAGCTACACAGAGAAAACTTGTCTTGAAAATCCAAAACCAAAAAAAAAAAAAAAAAGAGAAGCAGGTAGATCTCTCTGTGTTTGAGGCGATCCTGGTCTACGTAGTGAGTTCCAGGACAGCCAGGACCATGTAGTAAGACCCTAGAAAGAAAAAAAGAAAAGTAAAAAAAGCCAGGCAGTGGTTGCGTAGGCCTTTAATCCCAGCACTCAGGAGGCAGAGGCAATGAGTTTGAGGCCAGACTGGTCTACGGAGCAAGTTCTAGGACAGCCAGGTTTACATAGATAAACTCTGTCTTGGAAAACAAACAAAAAACAATAAATAAACAAAGAAAAGAAAAAAAGGAGACACAATATTCAATGTTAAACCAACCAACACAGAAATGAACCTGCCACCTGCTTCAGTTTCCTTCCTGTCCTGAAAACCAAGTGCCAAATCCGAAATTCTCCCGTCAGTGGCTTCTTTTTCTAGGTCACACCTGCAGTCAGCTGAGCTAAAAGATAGGTAATAGCTAAATCGAGGGCCAGCTCCCGTCGGGAGAGCAGCTGAATGATGATGATCACGTTCATTCACTGGGATCCACTAACACGCTTTTTAAAAGGTAGGGAGTTTAAAACAAAGTTCCTAAACTGGGTACTGTGGCACATATCTATAACATCAGCACTTGGGAAATAGAGGGGAGGGGATTAGAAGTTCAAGGCCAGCCTGTGCTACAAATTGAGCTTGAAATGAGCTACATGAGACCCTGTCTCCAAAAATTGGAAAAAAAAAAAAAAAGAAAGAAAAAAGTTCCTAAAATTTTCATTATGGTGACACACACCTATAACCTCAGTACTCAGAAGGCCAAGGCAGGTGAATCATAAGTTCAAATGCCAGCTGGGGAGTAGACTCCAGGCTGGCTAGGGCTATATAGTGAAATTCTGTCCCACAAAACCCCCAAATAAATAAATTAATTTAAGTTAATAAGGACATGGGTATGTTGCAGAATATTTGTTTATCTATGCAAAGATGTGTTGCATCTGCTTAACTATGTAAAGATGTGCTGTATTTGTTTAATATGGTAAAGGCGTGCTATATTTGTTTATGTTGTGGAATATTTGTTTAACTATGCAAAGATGTGTTGCATTTGTTTAATTATGTGAAGATGTGTTGCTGTTTCACCTTGCCTGCCTAAGGCACCTGACTGGTCTAATAAAAAGCTGAATGGCCAATAGCGAGGGAGAAGGTAAAGGTGAAACTTCGGGCAGGGAGAGTGAGTAGGAGGAGGAATTGAGGCTCTGAAGAAAGAAAAGAGATGCTAGGGGCCAGCCAGCCAGAAATGGAGGAAGCAGGAAAGTAGGACACAGAGAGTGAAAGAAAGTCCCAAGGCAAAACGGAAATGAATAGAAACAGGTTAAATTAAGTTAAAAGAGCTAGTGGAACAAGCCTAAGCTAAGGCTGAGCATTCATAATTAATAATAAGTCTCTATGTCTTTATTTCAGAGCTGGTTGGCAGGCCAAAGAAAACTCCAACTACATGGGTAAAGCACCTAGTAGGTACAATGTCCTGAGTATGGTTCCCAGCAGTAAAACAGAAAAGTAGGGAAGGTGGGTTTTTTTTGGTTTTTCAAGACAGGGTTTCTCTGTAGTTTTTATTGGTGTCTGTCTTGGATCTGGCTCTGTACACCAGGCTGGACTCGAATTGACAGAGATCCGCCTGGCTCTGTCTCCTGAGTGCCTAGCAAGGGTGGTTTTTTATATACACAGAATAAACAAGCTGGATGTCACGGGTAGAGCATCTGCAGGGCAGACACAGGCCCTGAGTGTGCTGTACAGCACAGCAATATAAACAGAAACAGGCTTATATATACATGAACTACTGACTTATAGAGCTGGTACAGGGAATATGAATACATATGCCTGTTTAAACATAAATGGTCCTAAGGATACAGACAGAACTGATAGTTGCTTTCCTGTGGATGAGGTGGTAAGCTCCTATAATCCTAGCATTCCTCAGGGAGGCTGGCACTAGGGATGCAGTTGCAGGCCACGCTGGGCTACAAAGGAGAACCCTGTCTCAAAAAAAACGAAACTGGCCGGGCGGTGGTGGCGCACGCCTTTAATCCCAGCACTCGGGAGGCAGAGCCAGGCGGATCGCTGTGAGTTCGAGGCCAGCCTGGTCTCCAAAGCGAGTTCCAGGAAAGGCGCAAAGCTACACAGAGAAACCCTGTCTCGAAAAACAAAAAAAAAAAACAAAAAAAAAACGAAACTACAGACCAGCAAAGTGTCCCAGTAGGTAAAGGCAATTGCTGCCCAGCCAGGCTGACAAACAGAAGGTGTCTATTCCCAGAACCCACACAGTGGCAGGAAGCAGCTTCTACAAGCTGTCCTCTGGATTCCACATGCTGTGGCCTGCAAATATCCCAACCCCCACCACACACAAAATAAGTAAAAAACAAAAACCCTTAAAAATGCCACAAAAGTAGGGTGGTGGTGGCGCACGCCTTTAATCCCAGCACTCGGGAGGCAGAGCCAGGCGGATCTCTGTGAGTTCCAGGCCAGCCTGGTCTCCAAAGCGAGTCCCAGGAAAGGCGCAAAGCTACACAGAGAAACCCTGTCTCAAAAAACGAAAAAAAAAAAAAAAAAAAAAAAGGAAAAAAGCCACAGAAGTAGAACACTTGTCCGTGCGCACATTTTTTGTACACGTTCTTTTTTGTTTGTTTGTTTTGTTGTTGTTGTTGAGACAAGGTTTCTCTAACAGTACTGGCTGTGTTGTCCTGGAACTCACCTTGTAGTACAGGCTGGCCTGGAACTCACAGAGATCCACCTGCCTCTGTCTCTCTAGTGCTGGGATTAAAGGTGTGAGCCGCCACCATGCAGCTCACTTTCTTAAATATATGAATGTTCTCTCTTTTTTTAAATAATATTTTATTAAATCTTTGAGAGTTTCACAATGCATTTAATCATATTCACCTCCCCCTCCCCTTCTACCCACCCTGCACCCTCCACTCTCCAACTCCCTCCCCACCCAAGTTTAAGCTTTTTTCTTCTTCTTCCAACCCCATCTAGTCTAGTTTGGGTTGCTCTTGGGAATGGGGCCTGCTCTGGAGTGTGGATGACCTACAAGGGGGTCACATCATTCAAGAAAACTAACTCTCTCTCCCCAACAGCTATCAAATGCCAACAGCTCCTCAGCTAGGAAGTTCTTTTCTTCTTTTTCTTTTTGTTTGTTTTTCAAGACAAGGTTTCTCTGTGTAGCCCTGGCTGTCTTAGAACTCATTCTGTAGACCAGGCTGGCCTTGAACTTAAGAGAGATCCTCCTGCCTCTGCCTCCCAAGTGCTTAGATCAAAGGCATGTGCCTCAGCTAGGAATTTCATGACCACCTTCCCTGCTTCCTCTTGGGATTTTTATCTGGCTTGTAGTATCTATTTTTAAAAAAGTTAAAAACTGGGGCTAAAGAGACGTCTCAGCTGTTAAGAACACTTGTTGCTCTTGCAGAGGACCTGCGTTCAGTTCTGGCACCCACATGGGGTCTTGCTACAGGCTGTAATTCTAGTTTCCGAAGATCAAATGACTGCCTTTTTTAGGCCCACAGACACCAGGCAGATGTGTGGTGCACAGATACACTATCAGAATACAGTCCAAGAACAGAATCGTGTGAAGGGAATTCTCAGTGCTTGTGAGAAAACTCCAAGAAAACAAGATAAGAGTCTTGTGACCTCAGTTTCTTCAAACACATGGAATTGTGTTTCGAATGTGCTTTTGTGCCCTTCCCAGGTATGAGTTTCCTTCAGATTATTCATCACAGCTGGCTGCTGTTATTTCTTTATATGCCTCTTTATATGGAAAAACATGTTTCTGCTGGTCCTTGTGATTGAACACTTTGCTCATGTGATTCTTCTTAACCCTCAGAGTATAAATTGTCTGATACTCTGAATAAAGTTAGTTATTACATGAGATTTTAGTCCACCTCCTTTTTAGGTCCCATTTCCCCAGGTTCACATCACCAACAAAGAGGTAAACCATATACATCTAGTAAAACACTGATATACTTAAAAACAAAAATGTCTTTAAAAAAGTAAACTGAAAATGTTAAGTAAACTATAACTTCCTTTCCATGGGTACTACTTCAATGGGACAGGTAGTTTTGTTTGTTTTTCAAGACAGGGTTTCTTTGTGTAGCCCTAGTTGTCCTGAAACTTCCTCTGTAGATCAGCCTGGCCTTGAACTCAGAGATCCTCCTGCCTCTGCCACCTGAGTGCCGAGATTAACAGTGTGAGCTACCACCACCCAGCATGAAACAGTTTTGTTTTGAGACAGAGTTTCATGGAGCCCAGATCATCTTCAGACTTGCTATGTAACTAAAGATAACCTTGAACTCTGATCCTCTTGCTTCTACTCCCTAAGTGCTGGGATTACAGGAATGTGTACCACTATGGATGCCTTTATGCAATGCTGGGAATTGAACCCAGAGCTTTGTGCATGCCTTACCAACTAAGCTATATACATCCCACCTCTTCTTTTCCTTTAAGAAGTATTTTTCTGTTGATTTGTAATAGCTGTACATATTAACAGGTATAGTGCATATAATTCAATACATGATATATAGAGTGTGTAATGTCAGACCACAGCAATTAGCGCTCTCATCTCCTTAAACACTGATCATTTCTTGATACTAATTAACAGAACCACCTTGATGTCCCTGTCACTCACCTTTAGGTTGCCTGTTGACAGCAGCCAGCAGGTAGTGCCGAGCCTGGTCATAGTCCTGCAGATGGAAGAAGGCTACTCCAGCCCGATATAAGGCCTTGGCGTTTTCAGGTTGTCGTTCTAGGACTTTCTGACTGTATTCCCTCACTCGTTCGTAGTTCACTGGCTCCATCTGGAGGAGACAGGCTAAAGGATCAAGTTAAAGGGAGAGAGAAGGAGGGCTTATAGGAGATTCCACTAGCCAGCTCCAGGCATTCCCCAACATTCAGTTATTCAACTAACGCCGAAGTGTCTCCCATATCCATAGCCTCATCTAGGAACTGGAGCTATGAAAGTTGACTGACAAGCTGGCTCAGTAGGTAAAGGCTCTTGCCACCAAGTTTGTGACTTGTGTTTGATTCCTGGGAAGGAGAGAACTGACTCCCACAAGTTTTCCTCTGACATTCCCAACATGTGTACAACACCATGCTTGAGCACACGTAAACACACAATACATAAAGTTTATTTCATTTTATGTGTGTATATATATTTGTATCATATGCATGCAGGAGCCCAAGGTGGTCATAGAGGCGTCAGATGCCCTGGAACTGGAGTTACAGATGACTGTGAGCTGCTATATAGGTGCTGAACCAAATCCAAATCCTCTGCAAGAGCAGTAAGCGCTTTTAACTGGTAAGCCAACTCTCCAGGTACACATCTGTAATCCTAACACTTGGGAGGTAGAGGCAGGAGGACTAGGAATCCAAGGTCACCCTCGGTGTGGTGGTTTGACTACAAAGGGCTTTCATAGGCCCATATATTTGAATGCTTGGTCGTTAGAGAGTGGCACTATTTGAGAAGGATTAGGAGGTGTGGCCTTGTTGCAGGAAGTGTGTCACTGGGGGTGGACTTTGAGGTTTCAAAAGCCCATGCCAGGCCCAGTTCTCACTTTCTGTGTAGCCTGCCAATCAGGATGTAGCTCTCAGCTACTGCTCCAATGCCATGCAGGCCACCATGCTCGCTGCCATCAGGATAATGGACTAAGCCTCTGAAACTGTAAGCAAGCCTCCAATCAATGCTTCCCATTTTAAGAATTACCTTGGTCATGATGTCTTTTCACAGCAATAGAACAGTGACTAACTCTTGGCTACACAGGGAATTCAAGGCCAGTCTAGGCTACTATACAAGACCCTTTCTCAGTCTCCCCTACCCTCTTCCTCCCCTCTCTTTGGTGCTGGGGATCAAATGAAACTCTTCACTGTGTCTCTTCTACCCAGTGCTGTGTCCTCACTTCTTGGTCTCATCACAGTTCTTACACTGCAGCACTGTCAATGCCTGCCATTATGTGAGGGAAGAACAAGCTATGTTGAATATATTCCATCTTTTCACCCACATACAGAATCAGTGCTAGTCTCCATTTAATGGATAAAAAGAATCCAGGCTCAGATAAGCAACTTGCCCAAGATCTCAGAGCTTGTAAGTGAAATGAGCATGTAATCTGAACCAAGTCTTGTCAATTTTTGTTTTTTATCTCTCCATGTTCTGAGATGGGGGTGGGGATCTCATCTGAATTCACTATATACTGGAGGATGATGATGATCTTCTTGTTTCCACATACCCAGCCAATAGAATTACAGGCATGCATCAACACACCCAGGTTTGGTTTGGTTGAGTCAGTACGGTGGTTGAATAAGAATGGCTCCCACAGGCTCATATATTTAAATGCTTAGGGAGTGTCACTATTTGAAAGGAGTAGGTGTGGCCTTGTTGGAGGAAGTGTGTCACTGGGGGTGGGGTTTGAGGTTTCAAAAGCCCAAACCAGGCCCAGTGGCTCTCTCTCTTTTTGCTGCCTTTGAATCCAGAAGTAGAACTCTCAGCTACTTCCCAGCACCATGTCTGCCTGCATTTCACCATGCTCCCCACCATGATGACAATGAACTTACACCTCTGAAACTGTAAGCAAACCCCAGTTAAATGTTTTCCTTTATAAGAGTGGCTGTGGTCATGGTGTCTCTTCACAGTAATAGAACACTGACTAAGACAGTCAGGTTCTTACTGTGTAGCTCAGGCAGTCCTGAAACTCAGTCTGTAACCCAGAATGGCCTCAAACTCCTGTTATTCCTCCTGCCTCAAGCTTCCAAGTAGTGGAATTACAGTTCTGTGCCACCATACCAACCTCATTTCCAACAACATGATATAAATTCATTATTTTCTTGGCTGATTAATGGAACTCAGAATTAATCTTGGTTAGGAAGCAATGTTCAAGACACTGTTCTGCCTTAAAGAAAGGTTGTAGCTCAGCAGACCGATTGATTGCCTGGCATATTTGAGTCTCCTGAGTTCACCAAAAATAAAAGTAAAGTAGGTGGAGAGATGGCTCAGTGGTTAGCACATATTGCTCTAGCAGAGGATCCACGTTTGGTTTCAAGCACCCACACTGGATGGCTAACAACCACCTGTAACTACAGTTCCAGGGAATTTGATGCTTTTTTCTGGACATCAAAGACATCTACCTTGACATGTACACATACCCATAAAAACACATACACAGAGACACACAATTAAAAATAAAATCAATAAATAGCTGGGTGTGGTGGTGCACACCTTTAACCCCAGCACTCAAGAGGCAAGGGCAGGCAGATCTCTGAGTCTGAGGCCAGCCTGGTCTACAGAGTGAGTTCCAGGACAGCCAGGGCTACACAGAGAAACCCTGTCTTAAAACCCTGCCCCCCAAAATAAATAAATGATTTTTTTTAAGTATAAAAAGGTAAAGATATATCCTATTTCACAGCTATTGGAATTATATTAAAGTTAAATCATGCTCAGATGGCTGAGATTCACGTATAATGAAGCCAATAACAAGCTTGGACTAGACTTGCATCCCTGCTATAACACCCCTACACCAAGCAGGCTTTACATGAGGTATTCACCACAGATCAATTAATCCAGCATTTTCACTTCAGTACTTCAAGTGATAACTATTTACCTAGCACTAACTATGCTCAAACAGTAAACTAAGGAGTAACAAGAAAAGGAAGGCATCTTGATGACAGTTTTAAAATTATATATATATTCTTACGTGTAGGAGTGTTTTGTCTCTGTTTATGTATGTGAACCATGTATGTGCCTGGTGCCTGAGGAGGTGAAAAGGGGTTTTGTATCCTTTGGGACTGGAGTTACAGATGGCTATAAATCACCATGTGGGTACTGGGAATTAAACTCTGATTCTCTGCTAGAGTAGCCAGTGTTCTTAACTCTTAGGCCATCTCTCTAGCCTTGTTTATTCTAAATAATAACACACACACACACCCAGTTTGATGGGAGATGTGCTGAAACAGATTTCAAGAGAAATACTTTTTAGTAATGTTGGCCATTATGGGGCGGGGGGTTTGGTTGAGGTAGGAGCCCTGGCAACAACCCACAAAACAGAGGAAATTCCTTTTATAGATTTTAGAAGGCAGAGATCTTTGAGCTTAGAGAGGGATCTGAGTTTAACAGCTTAGTAAATAATACCAGATAAGATATAAAGCACTAAATCCTACCGTCCCACTCTACCTTGGGGCCCCAGCTACGAGGTAGGGCTTCAGCCGCTTAAGGAAAGTACTCTAGGATATAAGGCTTGACGGGTCTCCACGGGGTAGCAACTGAGATCAAGCAGTGATTAAATAATGCCTGGGCGTCCCTAAGTGGAAGGTTTACACAAACAAATGAAACTTTAAAGATACTTTGAAGAAAAGCAAACATACTGGAGAGTGAACGGAGTTAAACTGTTGCTTAGTTACTGAGGGCTTCTCTAAGAAAGTAAATTTTATTGATTAATTTTTGTTTTTTTTTGAGACAGGGTTTCTCTATGTAGCTCTGGCTGTCCTGGAAATCACTCTGTAGACCAAGTTGGCCTTAAACTCACAGATCCACCTACCTCTGCCTCCCGAGTGCTGGGATTAAAGGCGCATGCTACTACACCTAGCTCTCAGAAAGTAAATTTTAAAAGCTGGGGGTCTACCTAAGCAACAGAGTGCTTGCAGCCTTCCTACCAGTAGGACAGAACATTCTAACTCCTGAGAAGAGAGCTTCAAAGTCTTTAAAGGTGGAAGTGTGCTGTGAGATTTGCAGATATGGAGGAGTCCGAACATGTGAGGCCCTTCAGGCAAAGGTCAGAGTGGATTTTTCTCTTAAATGTGCCAAGAAGACACTGAGATTTTAGGCAGGACTTTGACTTCTTTATCTGTAAAAATGAGGATTATTATGAAGTAGCTATCAAAATTTTGGTAAAGATGAGAAAAGTTGTAAATTACTGCCAAATATATCATGGGTATTCAATAAATGAACACTGTTAAATCAGTAAAAACTTCTTCTTTTTTTTTTTTTTTGAAATAAGGTCTTACAATGTAGCCCCATGCTAGCCTCAGATTTGTGATTCTCCCTCCTGAGGAATGGCAGAGAGCACAGACCTGTCACCACACAGTTTTTCAGAGTCTTTATGAGGCACCTGTGAAGCATTCCCAGAGCTTCTAGAGAGTGCTAATAAGCAGTGCCTCCTTTGGTCACCTGGGAAGTCAAGACATTTAAGTGCCCATCTCTGAAACTCCTGTTTCTTTGATTTTGGTCAATTCCTTAGTACATTTTCTACTTTTTTTTTTTTTTTTTTGGTTTTTCGAGACAGGGTTTCTCTGTGTAGCTTTGCGCCTCTCCTGGAACTCACTTGGTAGCCCAGGCTGGCCTCGAACTCACAGAGATCCGCCTGGCTCTGCCTCCCGAGTGCTGGGATTAAAGGCGTGCGCCACCACCGCCCGGCACATTTTCTACTTTTTAATAGGGCACGGTATCTTTTTTTTCTTTTCTTTTCTTTTTTTTTTTTTGGTTTTTCGAGACAGGGTTTCTCTGTGTAGCTTTGCGCCTTTTCCTGGAACTCACTTGGTAGCCCAGGCTGGCCTCGAACTCACAGAGATCCGCCTGGCTCTGCCTCCCGAGTGCTGGGATTAAAGGAGTACGCCACCACCGCCCGGCGTGGGCACAGTATCTTGCAATAAGAATTTAAGTTCTGGGAATTAAGACTTGCTAGATTAGTTCTAGTTTCCTTAGACTCATTTGGAAGAATTGCTGTGACACTTAACATACGTCATGTCATCAATGAAGCATATATGACTCCTATGTAGCCCTTCTTTCTTAAATGGAACATCCCAGGACTGTACCAATTTTCCAGTTTATTCTCACTGTTTAAGACAGGGTCTCACATACATCGCAGGCAGGCCAGACTCGAAGCCACTCTGCTACTTGGACCTTCGCAGTGCTGGGACTGATCCTAGGTGTAAAGAACCAGGCCATCTCACTTACTCTCCTCTGCGGTACTTACTGTCTGATATACCTTGTTATTTCCTTTGTTTCATGAATATAGGGACTGTTATCATGTTATCACGTAGTGTTATACTGCTAATCCTCAGCACTTAACTGTTGATCAGAGTTAAGTTAAAACAGCTACTGTTAGGGGATGGGCTATGCACGCATTTAGTCCCAGCACTCTGGAGGCAGAGGCATGGTGACACAGACCTTGTTGCAAAAACAAACAAAAACACTACCATAATTACTATTATTTAAGTCCAGAAGTATTGCTGGACACACTGGAAAAAATACTCTTAACTTTCACCATAACTAATGAGTATTGTAATTTCAAAAATTTTTAGTGCTGATATTGTAGGTTAGTGGCACAGCTTTTGGTTAGCATGTGCCAGGCCCGGAGTTCCACAGCTCCACTCCAACACCATATGTATATATATGTGCATGCAATATGTGTGTGTGTATGTATATACATATTTAAGTTTGTACATAAAAACTTAAAGAGTGCTCTATAATGTGTGTGTGTGTGTGTGTGTGTATGTATATTTGCTTGTTTGTTTGCTTATTTGAGACAGGGTCTCTCTAAGAAGCTTTGGCTGTTCTGGTACTTGCTATGTACACCAGGCTGGCCTCAAACTCACAGAGATCACAAAAATATTTTTTTTTAATTTTATTTATTTACTTTGTGGTTGAGAGCTTTGTCTGCACGTATACCTTTATGCCAGAAGAGAATATCAGATCCCCCTAGAGATGGTTGTGAGCCACCATGTGGTTGCTGGAAATTGAACTCAGGACCTCTGGAAGAGCAGTCAGCGCTCTTAACCACTGAGCCATCTCTCCAGCACTCTCACAAAAATATTTTTAAAGCACACTGCCAGATGTGGTGGCTGACACCTGTAACCTCAGCACTTGGGAGCCATGGGCAGAAAGACTGCCGGGAGTTTGGAACCAGCTTGGTCTACACAGTGAGTTTCAAGCCAGGATGGGCTACATACTGAGTCTCAAGAAAAAGAAAAACAATTTTAAGAAGCAACCAGTAGGAGACATAAAAGCTCCTGACAATATATACAGCCTCAGTTTGCACTGTTAGAATGTCTTTACTATACTGTAAATTAAGTTTAATTAGTTCTGAGCTTGATTTGTCTATCAGAGAAAAGATTAAAAGGTCTCTTATCTGTTCTATCTTCATAAAAAGCCATCTGGAAATGGAAGATAGTTATCCAATGTCCCTGATTTCTACAAAAAGTTATACAGTTAAGCACAAGCGATCTACACTATCTAGAGCCATTAACTTGTTCCCCAAATGTTAAATTCCCTTTAGACAAAGGCGCTTTTCCTCTACAGAAGGCAAAATGTTCTAAGGTTAGCAACACTCATCCAGATAAGTCCAATGGCAGTCCCACCCTAGATCCACTAGATCAAAGTTTCTGGAGTTAGGGCCTAGGAAGTTGTATTTTCACAAATTCTCCAGGTGAGGTTTGAAAAATCCTGCCCGCTTAAGAGTTCTCTACATATTGGAAACAGGTTTCAATTCATTGCCGAATAACCAGATGATAGCGAAGAAGATGGCGTTCACGGGGTTCGATGGTCCTGTCTTCTTAGTATGTTTCATTTTGGTTTTTGAGGGATTCTCTGTGTAGCCCTGATTGTCCTCGAACTCAGCGATCCACCTGCCTCTGCCTCTGAGTGCTGAGATTAAAGGCATGCGCCACCTCTGCCTTGCTCGAGGGTCAAGTCTAGATGCTCTACCCACCCTCCAGCCCCGCTCTTACCAGCTAGGTTGTTGTAGCAGTCTGTCTGAGTGGTGTGCAGTATGTTTTCTTGCTCCGGCGTGAGAGCTGGGCCCTCAGGGCCTAGATTGGGTATCGGGGAAGGCAGACTTGGATCCAGACCCCGCAGCTGAAGAAGAGCTCGGTGATACCTACTCACAGCATCTCGGTACTTCCCTTCCCGGTAGCGCTGGTTCCCTTCCTCCTTGAATAGCTGAGCCTCCTGCAGACGCTTCTCCATGACTGTTAGAATTGCTAAATGAAAGGTCAACTGAGGCTGTGGAGTTGGGATCAAAATTGTTGGTTTGGGAAATCTAGTTTGTAAGCAAAAAATTACTCTCCTTCAAGAGGATTTGAGCTTTGATGTTTTTACTACAGTCTTATCGATCCTCCTGTTTTCAGTTTCCCAAAGTTCCGCACAAAAAAAAAGGAATAATGTGGAGGTAGTGAAGTCACAGACCAAATGACTTCCAAAAGAAGAGATCCTGGCGTCCAGTATAGACTCTAGGAAGATTCAAAGGCCCAACTAAACAAACATCCGAAGTGTGTGACTGCCCGCAAAATTCGTTTCCTTCTTTCTCCGAGGCACACACACCCCCTGACCTGGAAGAAGATGGAGTAGGCGGGAACAACTGAAACAAGTCAGAAAGGCTTCCTTCCCAAGCTTTTTATTTGTCCTTATTCAACAAGCATTTGTCGATGTCTCTGCTGTTAACCGGGGGACCGAAGTGAATGAAGCCTGAGCCTCCAGTCCACAGGGGAGGCAGAAGAGGCTGTACGCACTGGCAAGCCCAACAACTGCACGCCTGCAGTGGCCCGAGCCCGGAAGTCTCCTCCAGGTTGTTAGTTTAAGGGACGGAGCACCGACAGGAAAAGACCCGGCCTGCTAGCAGTTTAGCATCTAATGGGGCGCGCGCATTGCGTCACACCACCCAATCAGAAACAAGTCCAGAAAAGTAATCCCGCAGAAACGACCCCGCCTCCCCAGCGGACCAACCCCGGAAAAAAAAAATTCCCGGCCACTTCTCCAATAGGAAAAAAAGCCGCACGATATCGGATGACCAATCAGACCAACAGACGACGATTCAAGATGACCAATAAGGGAGGCGAAGGGCGGGGTTGGCGCTTCTGTTGCTGGGTAGAAGTTTAAGCACAGTAAAAGAGGCCGGGCATTGCTCGCTCTTCCTCGGTACCGAAAAGCCCTTTGCCTACGAGCTACGAAAACAGCTGCTTTGCACCATCCAACCCTCCGGCTTGTCTTCCTTTATTCCTCTAAGAAGATGCAGTGAAAGAATAAGCAAGTAAGATCTACAGCGTCTCGGCAACTGAGAGCGAGCAGGAAGTAAGTGTATTGACAGGTGGGCGGGGCCCTGGTGCGACTGCGCAGATCCTACAACTGAAGTACTGAAAGACGGGCGCACACACGCTTCCGTGCTACGAGGCACTTGAGTCGCAGCCAGCCTTGCCGGCTCAGGCGTCCTTGCGGCTGCGCAGTTGAGACGCCTCCGGTGATTGGCCCGGATCTCTGAGGGGGCGGGAGGAGAAGTGAGGGAACTCCGTCGTCCTCGGCGCGCACTCGCCCGCGGTCGAGAACCGAGTGTCTAGGCGGCTACTCCTGACTGTCTTGTTTTGGGCTCGGTGAGCCGAAAGGGGCAGGGCAGAAGGAAGGCGACACAAACACGCCGCGGGGATAGCGCGGACTCTGCCGCTTCCTGCGTGCGCTCACTAGCGCGGGCTCAGTGCTGGCGCGGGAGGCGGAGGCGGGCGGCGGCGGCGGCGGCGGCGCCTGCGCGGTCGGGCTCGGTCGACAGTTCGCAGGGGAGGAGGCGGCGGGAGGCGGAGGAGGCGGCGGCGGCGATGGAGGTGAAGCGGCTGAAAGTGACCGAGCTGCGGTCGGAGCTGCAGCGGCGGGGCCTTGATTCGCGCGGCCTCAAGATGGATCTGGCGCAGCGGCTTCAGGAGGCGCTAGATGCTGAGATGCTGGAGGACGAGGCCGGCGTTGGCGGGGCCGGGCCCGGCGGGGCCTGCAAGGCGGAGCCTCGGCCTGTGGCCGCGTCGGGCGGAGGCCCGGGCGGGGACGACGACGACGAGGACGACGACGACGACGAGGAGGACGAGGAGGCGCTGCTTGAGGACGAAGACGAGGAGCCACCTCCCGCTCAAGCTTTGGGCCAGGCCGCGCAGCCGCCTCCGGAGCCCCCGGAGGCGTCAGCCATGGAGGCCGAACCCGAATCTTCCGACACACCGGCGGAGGCCACGGCCGGGTCAGGTGGGGTAAACGGTGGTGAAGAGCATGACACCGGCAAGGGGGAGGAAGACGGGCCGGAGGAACGGAGCGGGGATGAGACGCCGGGATCCGAGGCACCGGGTGACAAGGCCACAGAGGAACAAGGTGAGGAACTCGCAGCAGAGCCAGGCGCCAACCTGCTGGGTGCGTTTCTGATCCAGCACCCCACCCTGCACTGTGCGATCTGAAAGTGCACGGTTCCCGTGGCTGTTTGGGATTCCCCAGGGAACGTGGTTTTCATCCATTGCCCATCTTTTTTAGTGTTTGGGTGCCTTGTGGCTCTACTGTTTGCAGGAGGGATGTTCCTGCCTAACGTGGTTCCTTGGTGTTAGTGGATGGAAGTGTATGGTGTGGTGTGTGTGCGTGCGTGTGTGCGTGTGTGCACTGCTTTCAAGCTACCTGTGGATCAGTCTTCTGTTGCTTCCCCTTTAGCTGAATAACTTTAGCGGAAAATATGCCGAGAAATTGGCGAACTACAAGTATCAGTTAGAAGCTTAGGCCTTCGGCCTACCTGATAGTTAATTTCTTACCGTAAAATTGTTAAGCAATAAACAGTCTGTGAAGTGTTGCTCTGTCAAACCCACGTTAGAGATTAAGCCTCACAGAGCCTCTGGATAGCTAACCTTGCTCCTTCCTGCTTCAGCTGTAGGAGACAGTGTCTAGAGTGAGCCTTTTGGGTTTAATCATTAACTATCGAAGAGAAAGTCTTAGGCTGATAACTTTTAGTAGCATGTTAGTTGCTTGAATGGGGCTTTTTGCTTGTCTCTATTGTCTTTAATAATTCTCCTTCCAAGTCAATAAATGAGCGTATTTATAGACATTTTTACACTGGCCTTTAAGGCTCCCAATTTCCTGAGCTAAAATGATTGAGGGGTTCTAGTGGGTCAGTTAAGTAACCTGGTAGAAAATGTGTAGAGACTTCCCCCAGGAGCCAATGACCTTTCTCCTTTCTTTTGAAATGCTTGTTAGAGCTAATCCATAGTGTCTGTCAGAGGAGGGAGAGCTGCTACAGAGTCTTACTTTCAAGTCGATTGCCTTGGGTTTTTGTTTGTTGGGTTTTTTGTTTTTTGTACTTTTTTTTTTTTAGGATGTTAGTGAATGTCATATAGTTGGAATCTATTTTACAACGATTGTATACGAAGTATAGTGTTTGGGGGTGGGTTGTTGTGTTTGATGTCCTGCAACAAAATTCCTATTACATAACCCTTAACTTGTGTGTATCCCAAATAGCAGATAAAAAGCATTGACAGATAAGAGTACTTTAGAGGAATTGTCAAAGACTTTTAAACCTTCAAAACATAAAAGCCTAAGGAAAAAAATTCCATGTTCCTTGTAAAGAATGTTGCTGCCAGGCTTAGTGTCATAAGCCTTCAATCCCAGTACTTGGGAGGCAGAGGCAGGCAGATCTCATGAGTTTGAGACCAGCCTGGTCTACATTGTGAGTTCTAGGACAACCAGAGCTACATAGTGAGACCCTGTCTAGAAAAAAACAAAAAAAGAACGTTGCTAAATATACACTACCACCTTCCTGCCCCAAATTCCATGCAGTGTTATTTATGGTTCGCTTGTGACTTAATGATTTGCTCTGGTAACTTTCAATTCCAATTCTTGTTAAAAATACAGCTGCTATTGTGTGGCTGTGTATTTTAATGCAAAAAAAGGTAGTCTCTTAAAGAAAATGTAAGGATTCTGTGCCATGTAGCTGCTGAAAAGTGTTAGGAAATAGTCATTAAGTACTTGCCATAAATCCAAATCTGATGAGAATGGAAATTCATCTGTGAAGGTTTGTAAATGACTTCAGGGATATTTTCCTATCATGTTAGTGGGGAGATCTGCCAGGTTGGCTTGAATGAAGTAGATAAATTTAGAATGGAAAAATTGCCCAACTTTTCCATTTTTTTATTGTATTTAGCTCTCAGTGTCACCCCCCCCCTTCTTAACCAATGGAAAGATTAGAAATAAAACAGTGTATGAATATAATAGGAGCACTTTCAATCAGATACCCTCAGTTTCCCATATTGGTTAACTCAGATTCTCTTAGTTCTGGGCTTATTCTATACTCCAGTATAAAAAACTGCTGATTTTCTTTCCCTCCCTTTTGTAGGAGATGACCAGGATAGTGAAAAGTCAAAACCAGCAGGCTCAGATGGTGAGCGGCGGGGGGTAAAGAGACAGCGGGATGAGAAGGATGAACATGGCCGAGCTTACTATGAATTCCGAGAGGAGGCTTACCACAGCCGGTGAGGGAAACATTCCCTTGATGGGAATGTCTGCTCTGCTTTTGGTATTCCTGGTGTTGATTGGACAGTCTGGAAGGAGGGGTGGATTGAAAAATGGAATAGGTCTTTATAGGCATAAGTTTTAGAGTAAATAAATCTATGATGGCAACTCCTATTTCCTTTTCTCATTGACTGAAAGAAGCTGTCTGCTGGAATTTGATAATTCACTGATACTTTAAAATGGACAGTGCCGCACAAATACCTCAAAGAAAATAGCTTTGGTTATATTGCATTTGCTCTCCTCTCCTACCTGTAGCTCGAAGTCCCCACCACCTCCAGAAGAAGAAGCAAAAGATGAAGAGGAGGATCAGACGCTTGTGAACCTGGACACGTGTATGTATAAACAATTTTTTTTTTTTTTTTTTTTTTTTTTTTTTTTTTTTTTAGAATAGGGCCTTGCTGTTTATCCCAGGCCAGCTTCCAACTTGTGATCCTCCTGCCTTAGTCTCTGGAGAAATCTAAAAATGACTTTTTGAGAGTAAAACTTAATGACTCGAGTATTTGGACAGTTTTTGTATCCATTCATGATAACTCAGCATAATGGTACTCTCAGCACTTTTCAAGTGTTGAGCAGTGCAGTAAACCAGTCACATCTTTCTTTCTTAACAGATACCTCGGATCTCCATTTTCAAATAAGCAAAGACCGATATGGAGGGCAGCCACTTTTCTCAGAAAAATTTCCTACCCTTTGGTCAGGGGCAAGAAGTACTTATGGAGTAACAAAGGGAAAAGTATGCTTTGAGGCCAAGGTAAGGGACTCTTCAAAATCGTTTATTAATTTAAACTGTGTGTTAGACTCCTGGCCAGTATTTTATTAGTTCAGAAAAGGCACCCTACTTAACATACCCTTAACTCTGAGCAACAAATTGACCCGTATGACATTGTTTTGTTTTGTTGTTTGTTTTATATGATGGTAACTGAACTCGGGGCCTTGTACATATTAGGTGCTTTATTTCTGAGCTACATCCCCAGGGCTACAACTTTGGTCTTTGGTTTAAGTTTAGTGAAAGTTGTTTTTCTCATATTGAGCTGTGATCTTTTTTTTTTTTTCTTTTCAGTTTGTATACAAATCTTATCTTTGTAACTCAGACTTTGTACCTGCATTGGTCAAAGTACCTAAGAATTCCTTTTCTGACTTGACCAGGTAACACAGAATCTCCCAATGAAAGAAGGCTGCACAGAAGTTTCTCTCCTTAGAGTTGGGTGGTCTGTTGATTTTTCCTGTCCACAGCTTGGTAAGGTTACTTTTTAACTTCTTGCTTGTGTCTGTTACCATATTGCTTACTCTGTGGAAACTTTGCAGATAGATAATTGATTGTTAACTATCCTAGGTGAAGATGAATTTTCTTATGGTTTTGATGGAAGAGGACTCAAGGCAGAGAATGGACAATTTGAAGAATTTGGCCAGACTTTTGGGGAGAATGATGTCATTGGCTGTTTTGCTGTAAGTGTTCCTGAAAATTGTAGATTTATAGCAAAGGGTATATAAAAGGCTGAGAGGATTCAGCTGTGCTTCCTAACAACTACATGCTTTTATATTATACATTTGATGCACTGCTTGGTTATTTGAACTGTGCAGTAGCCCCAGTTATTTATTTATTTAAAGCCTCATTTGCTTTTTCTACATTTATTTTGGGGGGGGAGCATATCAAAGTGTATATATGAAAGTCGGAGGACAGTTTTCTTCTTCTACCATGTGGGTTCTAGGGACCAAAGTCATATCATACGTGGTGACAAGTACCTTTACCCACTGATCCATCTCTCCATCCTCCCAACTTACAAAAAAAAAGTAAGCTGTAAGACATGATTGTCCTTAAAACCTGTCAGCCTGTAAATGCTCTTGTGCTTTTATCCTTGTAGAATTTTGAGACTGAAGAAGTAGAGCTTTCCTTCTCCAAGAATGGAGAAGACCTGGGTGTGGCATTCCGGATCAGCAAGGAGTCTCTGGCAGATCGAGCCCTTCTACCCCATGTCCTGTGTAAGAATTGTGTTGTAGAATTAAACTTCGGTCAGAAGGAGGAGCCCTTTTTCCCACCACCAGAAGAGTTTGTGTTCATCCATGCTGTGCCTGTTGAGGAGCGTGTGCGGACTGCAGTTCCTCCCAAGACCATAGAGGAGTGTGAGGTATGCCCAATTACAGAAGTATAGGCCTAGTGCTTTAGAATAGTGGAGGATGTGTCCTTTCAGGTGTGTTCTGAAATTACTGTCAAACTTGGATAGGGAAAATATAAGAATATTTTCTAAAAAAAAAAAGCTGGATTTTATAAAAATGACTCATTTTTATTGCATTCTTCTTTCTTTTTACTTGCAGGTGATTCTGATGGTGGGACTTCCTGGATCTGGAAAGACCCAGTGGGCACTAAAATATGCAAAAGAAAACCCTGAGAAAAGATACAATGTCCTGGGAGCTGAAACTGTGCTCAGTCAAATGAGGGTCAGTTGCTGAGAGGAGGGGAGGGATGGAGACTCAGATCTTTGATAACCTGTCCTGAGTCGGGGATGGAGGGTGTCTTTGCAGTGCATGAGAACACGGACCCTGCATATAGAAATGTAACTTTTTGTTGTGTGTTAAGATATGCTCCACACGCCGGGCGGTGGTGGCGCACGCCTTTAATCCCAGCACTCGGGAGGCAGAGCCAGGCGGATCTTTGTGAGTTGGAGGCCAGCCTGGTCTCCAAAGCGAGTTCCAGGAAAGGCGCAAAGCTACACAGAGAAACCCTGTCTCGAAAAACCAAAAAAAAAAGAAGAAAAAAAAAGATATGCTCCACACCTGCTGGATTGTCAAATTTCTGAAAATGTACAATCTGTAGTACATACAGGTTAAGAATGGAAGTGACTACTACAGGAAATTAGTGGTGTGATGAGTTGGTCTTATCCTTGTAGTAGTTAAAGCAGGTGACTTTAGGGCTCTTGAACTTGCTGTGTAACTCCTTGTATTCCTCCTGTCTTCTTGAACTCATCAGATGAAGGGGCTGGAGGAACCAGAGATGGACCCCAAGAGCCGAGACCTCTTAGTTCAGCAAGCCTCCCAGTGCCTTAGTAAGCTGGTCCAGATTGCTTCCCGATCAAAGAGGAACTTCATTCTTGATCAGGTATTTAGACATTCAAGAGGAACCTGGTTTTAAAGGAGATCCAGAAATGAAATTTTGCCTATTTCTTAGAGTCAGACTGGGATACACATGTAGGACTGAATTAAGAAATAGACTCAGGTCACCTAATGACCATCTGCTCTGAGTTATATAATGTTCTTGAACTTATCATACTTCTTATCTAAGAGTATGAGGTCAGATGATAGAGGGATAGAAGGAGATTTGGATGCATTCATTTATTTCACTTGAATTCCTGAATCTATCATGACCTGCCTACATTTGCAGTCTTGGACAAGCCTTTTCCCTCTCTAACTTCAGTTTTTCTGATGTGTAGAATAATATTTATCAAGTAGGGTCTCAAAAATCAAAGGAGAAGCCAAGCGGTGGCAGTGAATGCCTTTAATCCCAGCACTCAGGAGGCAGAGGCAGGTGCATCTCTATGAGTTCAAGATCAGCCTGATCTATGGCGCTAGTTCTAGGACAGCCAAGGCTACACAGAAAAACCCTGTCTTGGAAAAAGACAAATCAAAGGAGACTGGGGTTACAACACAGTGGTAGAGCAGTTTTCTAGCATGTGCAAAGCCCTAGGTTTGATCCTTGTTATTACAAAACAATAATAATAATAGTGATTATTAGAGGAAATTGTGTATTGACTTCTAATCTGATGCTTCAGCTGTAGAAGATTAAGTTTTCTTTTGTAAGTTGAGTGGTGACTTTTGTTCTTAAACATGTTATTACTCCTATTGCTAGTGTAATGTCTACAACTCTGGCCAACGAAGGAAGTTATTGCTGTTCAAGACCTTCTCCAGAAAAGTGGTGGTAGTAGTCCCTAATGAGGAAGATTGGAAGAAGAGGCTGGAATTGAGGAAAGAAGTGGAGGGAGATGATGTGCCTGAGTCTATAATGCTGGAGATGAAAGGTGGGCTAAAATTACATGGATTAGAGAATCTTGTCCCTGGTTAGTACAACCCTACTGGAATCGCTTAGAACCAAGAGTGACTCACCACATCTAAAGTACAAATTTAAGAACAATTTAATGGAAGCAAGTACTTTTGGATAAACTAATGAGTAGAGTGAGTGGAGAAACAGTAAACCCCTCACTCATGGATAAAATACAAAAAAGGTAAATATCTGGGCATGGTAGGTAGCACATGCCTGTAATCTCAGCACTTGAAAAGCTCAGGAAGGAAGATCAGGAATTAGGAGACAGCCTGGATTATATAATAGGACCATGTCTTGGGAGGGGAAAAAAAGCAGGGTGGTGCATGCCTATAATCTCAGGGCTTGGAAGTTGAAGGCAGGGAGGATAAGGAGTTGGAGGCTAGTCTGAGCTAATGATACTCTCAAGAAATGGAAGAATGAGAAATAAGATGTTTAAATCCAAACAAGATACTTAGACGTGAAGAAAGGGGATTGAGTCAGTTATCTATTAAGTATTTATAGTGTTTACTGTTTATACATCATTTCCCTAGTCATAGGAAAATATCAGCATATGAAATGAAACTTCACAGTCATAAATAAAATTTTAAAATTAATATTTATAGTCCATTAAAGATGGCAAGCCAGGCGGAGGTGGCACAGCACTCGGGAGGCAGAGGCAGGCAGATTTCTGTGAGTTCGAGGCCAGCCTGGGCTACAGAGTGAGTTCCAGGAAAGGCGCAAATCTACACAGCGAAACCCTGTCTCAGAAGGAAAAAAAAAATGGCAAAGATGATTGTTAGGGTTCAAATTAAAATACAGTAGTTGTAGAAAATTGTCTCTTTACTATGTTTTGATTTCTGGTATGATAGTAGTTTTGTGTTTTGTTTTCCTTTTTGCTTTTCTTGATTTGTTATTTGCCTAAGTATACTGTCCTCTCAAAGCAGTGTTAACTATATTGATTGACCTTGCTTCATACTATTCTCTTGAATCATACTTTTCATCATGTTTCCTTTTACTTATGCATCCCATTTAACGTCTCATCTGCTGGCTCTGGTGTAGTCAGAAGTTTTCCTGTGTCTCTCCCGGTCCTGCAGCCACTCGGACCTGAGTAAACACACAAAGGCTTATATTACTTACAAACTGTATGGCCTAATGGCTCAGGCATCTTGCTAGCTAGCTCTTTCATCTTAAATTAACCCTTTCCTATTAATCTATATGTTGCCATATGGCTGTGGTGTTACCAGTCAGCTGGCATCTTGTTGCTTCTTTGGTGGTGGGCTCCTATCTCTCCCATCCCACCTTTCTCTTGCCTGTCTCCCCAGCTGGAATGTACTGCCTAACCTTATTCAGCCTCACCATTGGCCAAACAGCATTATTTATCAACCAATCAGAGCAACACATTCGCAGTGTACAGAAAGACATTCCACAGCACTTCCCCTTTTTCTGTCTAATCAAAAGGAAGGTTTGAACTTTAACATTAAAATTACATAAAACAGTTATCAGCAAGAATTATAGTTACAATATCTAGTCTTTTTATTTAGCAAAATTAAATTATTAATACAAAAATTAAAAATTAAATACTCTTGTATTTTTGTGAGTCTAAAGATTCATATCTAATTTATCTTTGATCATAACTAAGGAAGACTATAATTATAACTGGGTGGCTCAGTGGTTAAGAGCACTGACTGATGTTCCAGAGGAACAGGGTTTAATTCCCAGGCCATCAGGTGTCTGATCACACCAGGACCAAAAAAAAAAATAAGGAAGAAGGAAACACGTGACTCTTCTCCCTTTCCTTATAAGAGGTCACGTTACAACTGCAGGAAGCACCACCTCCTTCAGACTCTAGAGCCCAGGGTCATGGGTGGAGCAAATACCACTACATTCTGGAAACTCTCATAATCCCTGGCTATGGGAATTACTTCCTACATCTGTGAGTTGGGGTGTCTGAATTTATACAGAATGAATTATGCCAGCCCATAGCAAATATTCAGGCACTTGGAGGAATTTAATGCAGTTTTATAAAGTAGGGATAACTGGATTCATCTGAGAATCATAATTGAAATAAAACTCACTGGGACAGTCTATGAACTTGATGTCCAGAGAATGTACTTGACTATCATGTATAACTGTTAAATGTTAGGCCTTGTAGTAGAGATGAGTAGATCCTTTCAGTGCATGTGCGTGTATGTGGTGTGCTGGGAATTAAAACCCAGAGCCGCCGGGCGGTGGTGGCGCACGCCTTTAATCCCAGCACTCGGGAGGCAGAGCCAGGCGGATCTCTGTGAGTTCGAGGCCAGCCTGGACTACCAAGTGAGTTCCAGGAAAGGCGCAAAGCTACACAGAGAAACCCTGTCTCGAAAAACCAAAAAAAAATAAAATAAAATAAAACCCAGAGCCTTGTAAATGCTAGGCAGGTAGGTGCAGTACCCCTCAACTATACCCTCAGGAAATCCAGGGCCTTGTACATGCCAGGCAGGTTCAGTACCCCTCACCTTACCCTCAGTCTCAGCTTGAAGCTCTGAAAATTACTTTCTGGCCCAGCATGGTGGTGCATGCCTTTAATCCCAGCAGATCAGAGACAGGTGGGCCTCTGAATTTGAGACCAGACTGGTCTAGACAACGAGTTACAGACCAAGCAGGTTACATAATGAGACTAAGTTCTCTTTTTCTTTCAAGTTTATTTTATTTCTATGAATGTTTTGCTTACATATGAATGTATATCAAATGTGTGCATGGTGCCCTTGGGAGGTCAGAAGGGGGCATCAGAGCCCCTGAACTACAGTTAAAAACAGTTGTGAGCCACCATGTGGGTGCTGGGAACTGAATCAGGTCCTGTGCAAGGGCAATGAGATGCTTTTAACTACTGAGTCATCTTTCCAGCTCCTAAGACCAAGTTTTTGTCTTAGCAACACCAAAACTTGCTCAGCTACATTTAGCCTGTGTTCCTTCTGTCTTGATAGCTCACTGCTGATTTATTATGGATCATTTGAGAACTTGTAAACCTAGTTTGCATATAACCCTTTGTCTTGTTCTCTTACAATTTAGGGAAAAGAAGATTTGCCTCTGGCATGGTAACACATGTCTAGTACTCAGAAGGCTAAGGCAAGAAGAGTGTTGTGAGTTTATAGGCCATCCTGGGCTATATAGACAGACCCTGCCTTTAAAAAGAAAAAAGCCATAGTAGCACTTGTTTGTAATCTGAAGCAGGAGGAGCAGGGTCATCCTTAACTATACAAGGGAGTTCTAGGCCTGCCTGAGCTACATGAGACCATGATTTAAAAAAGTTAAATTATCTAAGGGTGAATTGGTATGAGCCTAGCACATTTTAGTGCATTACTAACTTACTAATTGAAAGTGTTAGGCTTGGCTCACTTGGGATGGTAAGGCAGGATCTTGAGTTTGAAGCTGGCACAGACTGCATAGTAAGCTAAAGTCCAGCCTGAGCCTCATAACAAAACTATCTCAAAGGAGAGAAAAGTAAAATAAAAAGAGAAGCTATGGGCAGTAGCAACAACTATAATTGTAATCCCAGTTTTCAGAAGGCAAGAGGCAGGAAGACTCAGACTGGGATATTGAGGCCCTATGTGTAAAAAGAAACAAAAAAAACAAAACAACAGGAGCTAGATGGCTGAGCCCTTAATTAGTTGGCATGCATAGTTTGTAAGCATGAAGCCTGAAGTTTTGACCCCAGCATCCACACATCCACATAACAAGCCAAGTACCCTGTGTACTCCTGAATCCCACCACTGAGCAGGGTGGCAACAGGAGGATGGTGAGCTCTAGATTCTGAGAGGGACTATGTCTCCAAAGGAATAAAGTGTGATAGAGAATGTTGTAGAATACTATTTTAAGGTGTGTTACTTTTGTTTATGCTCTGGAACATTTGTATAATGAGCAAAGATGTGTCTGATTAAATAAAATTCACCCGCCGTGAGGAGGCTGAGTCAGCTACTAGCTGACTGGAAGTGGTAGGGAAGAGCCAGGTGGAGAATGTTTTTAAGGAGGGGCAAGGAGAAGCATGAGGAGTTTTTGGAGGATACTAACAAGGAGAGGAGGTAGCTACTTGGTATTCAGCCTCTCTGAAGAGCAGAATTCCACCTTAACCTTTAAATCTTGAGTTCTTTTGAGGGACAGAAATTTAGTTAAGTTCTGATCATAGCTTTGAAAGAGTCAGACCGGAGGGAACAGAAATCCCTCCAGCTACAGCCCTTGTGGCCTAACCCCTGCTGGTAGCTGCAGAGTTGCAGTTGCTGTTTCAGACTTAAAAGACAGTGACAATTAAGTTAAAGGACAACAAGAGAACACCTGACATCCTGCACTAGCCTTCTTATACTAACACATACACTATAACAACAAAACTGGGCCTGGTGATGCTCAGCTTTTATCCCATCAGAGACAGGTGGATCTCTGAGTTTGAAGCCAGCTAGCCTACATAGTGAGTTCCAGGACAGCTAGGGCTATGTAGAGAGCTCCTGTCTCAATAATAATAACAAACGGAGTGTTGACTCATAACTATAATTCCAGCACTTGAGGCAGGAGGTGAAGGTACTTGAGGCTAGCCTGGGATATAGAGCTAGAGCAGAACCTACCACACCATTGCATTATGCAACTGAAGAGGAATGGCCTAAGGTTATTAAAAAACTAACCTTAATTTAACTTTAAGGATAAATTACCATATAAGAACAACCACCAGATATCTGATAGACACCATCAAGGCTATGCAGAAGTTAATTTGGATCCTATAGAAATGTTGGATCCTGCCAGGCGGCCAGTGGCACACACCTTTAATCCCAGCACTCGGGAGGCAGAGCCAGGCGGATCTCTGTGAGTTCGAGGCCAGCCTGGGCTACAGAGCGAGATCCAGGACAGGCACCAAAACTACACAGAGAAACACTGTCTCAAAAAACCAGAAAAAGAAAAGGAAAATGTTGAATCCTGTGGAAATATTAGATTTGAGGAGACACAGAAGAAGCAGGGAAGCAGTATGGACAGTATGTAGATGAGGTAACAAGCCTTGGGACAGCACATATAGATTAATAGAAACGGGCTAATTTAAGTTATAAGAGCTAGCTAAAAACAAGCCCAAGCTGTCGGCTGAGCTTTCATTATTATTAATGTCTCCATGTCGTGATTTGGGGAGCTGGCTGGCAGGACAGAGAAAGACTCAGCTACGTAGAACTAAGTCTCAAAATGAGAAAAACAAAAAAGCAAACCAACAAAAACCCTTGGCTATAGCTCAGTGAGAGAATGCTTGATTAACCTGTGCAAAGCCCTGGGTTTGATCCCCAAAGCCACCAAAAACTAAATTATACTTCCTGTAGTAGACTTTCATGCGTTCTTACCTTGTCTACACTTTCCAGGCCCACAAGCTTCTCTCTTATTCTTATAGCCAACTTCTCTCTGCCTGAGAAATGCGACTATATGGATGAGGTGACATATGGGGAGCTGGAAAAAGAGGAAGCCCAACCCATTGTTACTAAATACAAGGAGGAAGCAAGGAAGCTGCTGCCCCCCTCTGAGAAGCGGACAAACCGCAGGAACAACCGGAACAAGAGAAACCGGCAGAACCGAAGCCGAGGCCAAGGCTATGGTGAGTCCTGGAGACCTGGCTGCCCACAGTGAGCAGCTTTCCTAATGAAGCTTATTTCTTGTTGTGTCCTTTATTTACCCCTGCTTCCTATGCTTTCCCATAATCCTGTAGTCAGAAGAGAGTTACTGTGGGGCAAAAATGTTTCCTTCAAACACAGTCCTGTGCCTCATCATCTGCGTGGCTTCCATGCGAGCAAGTGGGTTCCCCATTCACTGCAGTCTTAGGATGTGTGCAGTGAAAACTGATTGTTCCTTTAAGATTTCTTGGTGCTTTATCAAATCAATCCAATTGCACAGACAAAAGTGAATGCATTCTTCCATCATTTTAGAGCAGTACAAAGCAAGTTAGTTATTAGTGGAATTAATTTTCCCTCTGAATGTCTAGTTTGCCAGCTAAATCCCCAGTGTGTATTTTTGCTCTTTTAAAAAGTGTATGTTTATGTGTGTGCAACTGTAAATCAGTAGGTGGTTAGTGTTTAGACACTGGGAAGAACAACAGTTCCTAGCCTTGAGTATTGTGTCGATTTTGTTTTCTTTGTGTACAGTAAGTGAAGGGTATAGGCTACCTGACACCTCAGATCCCTTTCTGGGCTGAGAATCTGATCCTGTGAATGGCAGTTTTTATTCATGTTTCTAACTCTGCCATGTATCCTTTTGTCATCTAAGATGTTTTGCAGGATAAGGGAGCTTCAAAAGCAGGGTGGCTTTGTTATCTTATGTCTATTCTTCTGCCCTCCCCTCTCAGACTCTTTTAATAAAAGATCCTGGCTGGTGCTTTACTTAACATTGTGTGAGCCTGGCCAGAGCAAGCCTCCTCCTCCCATAGAATTGCCTTTGGCTCCAACTTTTTGATTTCCACTCAGATGTGGAGCCAGGACCCCATGCCAGCTGTCTGAGCGCCCTCTCCATTTCTCTTCCAGTGGGCGGGCAGCGCCGAGGCTACGACAACCGGGCCTACGGGCAGCAGTACTGGGGGCAGTCTGGAAACAGAGGGGTGAGTGCAGCTCTCCTTCTGCTCCTCCCTCTGGGCTGTGAAGCCATTCCTATTGACTTGGGGGAGCAGAGGGGTTTGGGCTGTTTTCTTAGGGCTTTAGGGTTTTGCCCACTTAATATGTTCATCTGGAAGAATTTAACCTGGGAAAAAAATGTACCCTGCTTATAGCATCAAGATGAAATATGTCTTGTTCAGTAACGGGGAACTGTGGGCTGTGCTTCTGGAGACCTATATATCACCACCACTCCTCTCTCTCCTTCCTCAGGGCTACCGTAATTTCTATGATCGATACAGGGGTGACTATGATCGATTCTACGGACGAGATTATGAGTACAACAGATACAGAGACTATTACAGACAATACAACCGGGATGTGAGTATTACCTCGGGGTAGATTGAGGGTGAAGGGGACAGGACCAGCTGGATGAGTGTCATGCCTCTTCATCCTCAGCCAGCTCTGGTGCTAAGTGATGGGGTTTCCCTCTCTTCTAGTGGCAGAATTACTACTACCACCACCAACAGGACAGAGACCGATACTACAGGAACTACTACGGTTACCAAGGGTATCGGTGAAGCCCCTGCTGTTTTCACCTGTCAGCCATGAAGCTGAGTCTCTGGGGGTGCCAGGCACCCCCCAAAACACAACCAAGGAAAACAGGGGCTGTCGGGGTGGGGCTGAGCTGCCGGGATGGGGCTGAGCTGCCGGGGAGGGGTGGTTGGGGGGAGGGTCTGCAAGCAGGGGTGGGGGAGGGGGGAAGTGGAAACAAAACAAAACTGTACATTTTTTTTTAAAGTTTGTTGAAAAGAATATTGTCTTATTCTATAAAACATTTCAAACCTAGTTAGGTTATTTGTAATCAAAAAACATTTGCACAGAAAGCAGCACTTAGGGCTGCCTGTTCTGTACCCTGCAGCTGGAAAGGAAAAGAATTGAAAATGACACCCTCGAGCATTCTAAGACAACTGGAATGATAGCCCAGTAAGGGAGAGTGGTGTGGGGAGGAGGAGACACCATGAGGGGGCTCTGCATAGCAGGCAGGAGTGGGGTCAGAGGGAGGAGCGCTGTGACAAGGGCAGTGAAAATAAACGATTGGCTCTTATCAATCACTTGCACCAACTAACCATTTGTATTTTCTTTACCAACCTTTTCCTCTTGGGATATCTGGTCTATTAGTCCAATGGGACAATGTCCCATTGTCCACTTTGTTGTGCCTTTGTGCTGTCTGCCTAAGGCACAGAGACTGCCAGTGGGGTGGTTCTATTATATAGGATTCCCAGGCCATGGGATTGGGGACTGCAGATCAGAATAGTTTGTCCCCATCCATGTTATACTCAATGAATTCCCATAAAATCTGGAGGAGAGTAGGAACACAGCCCTCAGTCTGAAGATGGTGATTTGCCAGGCCCTTGTCTCTGTCTTCTGAGTTGATAGAGGCAAGAGATCTCTAGAATCATTTGCTAAGATTGCCTGCCTCTTACAGTGTGAGGGAAGGAATGATTCTCAGGGTTTCAGCTCACAGAAACGCAGCAAGACGATGTTCACTGCGTCAGGATATGTATATAGGTAAATCCTGTGGTGTGGGCTGTCAGGCCCAGGTGCTGAGAATAGCAACTATTTTCTACAGTGTGGGGACTCTGCCCTGCTGCTGTTTTTGTTTTTGTTTTTGTTTTGATACACAGGTAGAAAGTGAGCAGAAGGGGGTGGGGGGGCAGCTCATTGGGGCTGCAGAAACTTGGGAAGACTGTGTGAATGTGTGTGGGTGCATGCAGGGGGAGCACCTGTTCCCAACTTTGTTGAAACAGGATTCCTTCTGGGGTGCTTCCTTGTGAGCCCCGGAGAGGCCTCTCATCAAGAGACTTCATTTGGGATCATTTAGTTTGTAACTTTACCTACCAACACCCTCCCCGTTCTTGACAGAACAGCTACAGGTTGCTGGGTTCAAGAATGTGGGCAGGATTGGCAATGCTCTTTCAATATTGAGCTTCAGTTTAAATCATCATCTTGCTTAGCTAAAAGCTTACTTAGCAACAGCATCCTACAGCACTTCCTGGTGAGAAAACATCTGGGCTGTGCTACTAGAACACATTTCACTTCCACTTCCTCACCTGAGCAGTTAGTTCTCTTGTTTAATCTTGTGCTGAGATTTGGATCTTCCCTGTCCTGATGTCCTTGCTGGGCAGTGCTTCTCTGGGTGTTCAGACCCTCATTCTGACTTTCTGGTCTGTTAGGATTCACCCTTCTGTTCAAGGACCTCTTTAAAGGCTATAGCAGGGCCTGGAAGGAGATAGCTTGCTCATATTGTGTCTTTTCTATTGCACCTGTCCCTTATGGTGCCACAAATGGATCTGTGTGTGGCAGTGGGTGGAATGATTGCATGTATCTTTTGTAACTCACTGGCATTATTAAGGGAAATTGAGAAAGCTTTGTTTATAATGTCAGGACAAAAAGGTAAAAACTGGAGCCCAAAGAAATCCCATTAGGACAAGATTATGTTATAATAGAAAACTTAATTTCCAGAGGCAGAAGCTGCCCCTTCAGATGTTCAGTCCTCCAACAAATAACACTTTTTTTTTTTTTTTTTTTTTTTTTTTTTGGTTTTTCGAGACAGGGTTTCTCTGTGTAGCTTTGCGCCTTTCCTGGAACTCACTTGGTAGCCCAGGCTGGCCTCGAACTCACAGAGATCCGCCTGGCTCTGCCTCCCGAGTGCTGGGATTAAAGGCGTGCGCCACCACCGCCCGGCCAAATAACACTTTTATAGTAGTATGTGACATGGATTATGGACAGTAGGGCCCACAGACAGGGATATAAACTTAACACTGAAGTTTGGGGCAATGGGTTAGAGAGTATACTTGCTATTGATTTGACAATAGAAAGTCTTTTTTTTTTTTAAGCTGTTTTTCTAGTTGAATGGCGAATAAAACTGCCACATCCTTGTTGGGTCTGTCCAGGAGGTCTCTTGCATCAAAGTGAATGTCTGCATTTTGTTTCTGTCTTGTGTTTTTATTATGAAAAGAAATGTTATAGTGGGTGGGGGGTGGATTGTGGTAACAGGAGGGATCCTCGGCTTTGTTTTTCTTAAAAGACTTGTTTAGTATTTTTTCGGACCTCTGTTGTAGTTGTAGATGGAAAAGCTTGTGAGAAAAACAAACAGCACACGGAGCCTGTAAATGTTTTTGCACAACCTGTAAAGCATTCTTGGAAGTGGCCAGTAAAAAAAGAAAAAAAGGGTTTTACCATTTAAAAAAAAATGTAACTGTGTCATTGTTTACATCTGTAACTTACCCTGTTTTCATTACACCATTCTGGCAACAAATGTAGGCACAGTAGTTCCAGTTTTAGAATAAATAACCATTTGGATTGAATTTTCCTATCTCCTGTGGCTGCACTGACTGGAGTGATCATGGGGGTTTAATAATGTATTTCTCTTTAATGTTTATTTTGAGACAGAATCTCATTTTAGCCCAGACTGGACTGGAACTCTTTTTTTTTTTTTTTTAAAGATTTAATTTTATTATGTATACAGTGTTCTGTCTGCATGTATGCCTGAAGACCAGAAGAGGGTGCCAGATCCCATTACAGAAGGTTGTGAGCCACCATGTGGTTGCTGGGAATTGAACTCAGGACCTCTGGAAGAGCAGCCAGATGTTCTTAACCACTGAGCCATCTCTCCAGCCCTGGACTGTAACTCTTAATCATCCTGCCTTAAACCCCAAAATTCTTCATTTGTACATGTTCATCACCACACCCAGCTTATTCACCTATTTTAAATTTTGGTGTGTGCACAATAGTGCACAGGGAGTCAAGTGTACATGTAGATGATGGGGGCAGGTGTCAAGCATGAAGGTCAGAGGACAACTTTGTGAAGTCTTTATCCTACCTTTATGCAGGTTCCAAGGAGCAAACGCAGATTGCCAAACTTACGTGAAGTGCCGAGCTGTCTCAGCAGCCCCTTCATCTATTGTTTAATGCTTAGTTATCAAGATGTACTAGGTGCACCCAAGGATAGTTTCTGTGTTGTATGACTGCTGTGCCCTTTTCTGTAATTCCTTCCCTTGGGAACCATCTATGCAGGGGTCTGTCTACCTAGTGTGTGCTAAGAGAAACGTCTTTTTTTTTTAATATTTTAAATTTCATTTTATGAGTGTTTTGCCTGCATCTAAGTCCACCCACTCCATATGTGCAGTGCCTTTGGAGGCTATTAGAGGGCATTGGAGCCTCTAGAACTGGAGTGACCCATGGTTCTGAGCTGCTATGGGGGTGCTAGGAACTGAATCCTAGTCGTCCTCTGCAAGAGCAGCAAGTGAGCAAGTACTCCTAACCACTGAGCCATCTCTATCCCTCCTCATACTAAGATCTGGAGCCATTAGAGTGGAGAATTTAACTCTTGGGCTCTGCTAAGATCAGTTGGCTGTTTGAGGTTAAATGAGAGGTTCTATTTATGAAAGCCATTAAGTTTATGCACAAATAATTATTACCTAAGCAGAAAATCTTCATTTTCCTAATGAATTGGAAGAATGAAAGTTACAAAGACATTACAGTGTTAGTGCTGAACAGATGTGCTGCTGCTGGCAGCAGTCAAACTCATCGCCTCACGTGTGTCACTGGAACTTCACTTCGTTTCCGTCTTTTTAAACAGAGTATTGCCTATTGTAGCCTAGGCTGCTACCACACCCAGCTCACTAGGATTTTTGTGTTTTTACTTGTTAATTTTTTTTGGGGGGGGCCCACATGTGTCGTAGTACACCTGTGAAGATCAGGGTGCTTTTGAGGAGTTCTCTATTCCACCATGTATGTCCCAAGGATTGAACTCAGGTCATCAAGCTTAGTGGCAGGCACTTCTACCCACTGAATCATCTTCCTGGCACTCATTATTGGGGCATTGTAAACTTAGTGTTAGAGCTAATGATAATTAGTGCACAGCTGGGCATGATAGCACTTGCCTTTTGTTCTAACACTAGATAGGCTAAGGCAGGAGGATTGTTATGAATTCAAAGCCAGTATATACCAGATTAGCCTGGGCTACACATCGATACTCTGTTTCAAAAAACAAATAAGAACAGCTGAGTATAGTGGTATATGTGTATAATCCTGGCACTTGGGAGTTGGAGGCAGGAGGGTCACAGTAAAGATCTTGTCTCAAAAAATCACTAATGGTCCACCTCTCAGCCTACTTAAAAAAAAAAAAAGATTTATGTTTATGCATGTTTTGCCTGTACATATGTGTATGTACTGTGTGTGTGCCTGGTGCATGCAGAGCAAGAAGACAGTGTTGGATCCTCTTAAACTGGAATTAAGGTCAGTTCTAAGCCACCATGTAGGTGCTAAGAACTGAACCTAGGTTCTCTCCAAGAACAACAGCTGCTCATAACCACTGAACCATCTCTTCTAGCCCCACCCCCAATTATTTTTAATGGATATAGCTCACACCTTGTCTGTAGGGCCGGTAGCCCTGTTTTCTACTCAACCAGATATTCGCCCGTAATTTGAACAGGTATCAAATTGAGGAAAGTAAGCTGGGTTTTTTAGGGGTAAAGTGAGATGACTGTTATCCTCATATCAGTATTAACATCTTGACTACTTTTGGCTTTTTACCACATCTGAGCTGATAAGATTTTCTTGCTATCCTGGTATTTGCCCAACACTGATACAGTAGGAAAAGCGTTTTTAGTCTCTGCTCTTCTAGGCATTGTGAGCAAGCAGGGATTATAACAAGGATCCTTCCTAAATTACCACAAGTAACAAGAAATAAGATTCTGAAATAACTGAAATCAAACTTCAGCATTGAAGGGGTGGTGGGGGTGGTGGATGTACATGTACAGGCATACTCTGTGGAGGTCAGAGGACAACTCTTGAGTTCTCACCACCTTGTTGGATCCAGGGATGGAACTCAGGTCATCAGGCCTGCAGTCAGTCACCTCTATTCAGCCCTTTGGTCATGACACTAGGGAATCTGCCTGCCATTACCCCCACCCCACTTTGGGTTCATTATTCCTCTCCCCTGTCATCTTAAGAAAGGACAAGATTTGGGAGTGATGGGTTATCCTGAGAACATACAGGTCATCCTGGGCAGCCCAGTTATATACATGAACAAAATTTAACAGGCCTAATTAGACCTTCCTACCCTTAAAGATATGTCCCTCAAGTTAGATCTTGATCCGTGAATAAAAACAACCGGGACTGTTATTGGTAGTCCAGGATCCAATATCATCTATGTTCACCCTTCAAGAAAGCTTCTGGAAGGTATTCTGGGTCTCCTAAACCTGCTTGGGCACTCATGAGATATGTGTGATCTCTAGCCTGGATAAAGGCGTGCACCACCAGGCTAGGCTGTACTCTTTTTGTTGTTGGTTTTGTTATTTTGGACTTCTTTGGTTCTTCGAGGCAGGATTTCTCTGTATAACAGCTCTGGCTGTCCTGGAACTCACTTTATAGTCCAGGCTTGGCCTAGAACTCACAGAAATTCACCTGCCTCTGCCCCCCCAAGTGCTGGGATTGAAGGTGTGCACCACCACCACCTGGTTTGTACACTTTCTTAATAGATATTTAGTCATTTTGAGGAGAAAATAAAAAGCCCCAATTCGACAAGAAAACACAAACTGGGCCGGGTTTAATCCCAGCACTTGGGAGGGAGAGGTAGGCGGATTTCTGAGTTCGAAGCCAGCCTGGTCTACAGAGCAAGTCCCGGGAAAGCCAGGGCTACACAGAGAAACCCTGTCTTGAAAAAACAAAACAAAAACAAAAAACCCACAAACTGAAATTTATTGTTTATTTAGCTCCAGAGAGGCCGAGGGACCGCGCTCCAAGATGAGCTGTATTACTACATTTGTATTATTACAAATAATCCCTCAAAGGGAACCTCTCTACATGAGATTCTCTTGCAAAATCCACTTTTTTGCAAGTGTGCTTTTGGGCTCAAATTCTAGTGAACTAGGGTACCCATGACTTATTCTTTAGGCCCCCCTATGCTTGGGCTCTCCGAAGAATGTCGAGTTCCAGATTCTATGGAACACCGAGCCCGACTCTGACTTCGAGAGGACAGGGGCAGCCATTTTAAGACCAGAGGATCACGTAAGGGATCGTTCCATATTGGGAACGCTGGGGGCCGCCATTTTAAGAGCAGTGCTGTACGGCACCTTGACGCGCCCCGCCGTGCCTGTACGCACAGGCAGCCGCCATCTTGGACAGCGGCGGTGGGCACTGCCGTCCCGGGCGCTGAGTCGGCCTGTGTCGCCCCTCCGCTCCTCAGCGCACCTCCACCTGGGGCTGCTGTCTCTGTGCCCGCGGAAACCCACGCTACTCGGTCTGCGTAGTTCTCTCTGCTTTCGTTGCGTGCCTGTGTAAATGGTCCGCAACTTCTGAACGCTCGTTTTAGCAACCCCCGACTGGGGGCGCTCGCGCGCCTCATACCCTGAGACCTCCAGCCCTTACAATGTCTAACAGGCTCGACTGGCCCTGTTCCCTGGATATGGCAAGTGTATCGGCTAAGGATCCTCTTTCCCAAGAACGCTAACACAGGCGCTGTCCTCTGAGGCTCTGGATGACTTTATTCTTCAAATGCCTTTACCTTTCCAATAGCTCCAGGTGAGACTGAGAACAAGCACCCGGGCATCCCCCTCTCCATTGCCTGAACGGATCACAGAGGGAATCAGGCAGGATTCTGGCAGTTTAGCGGGGTCCCTCTGGATGGAGTAAAAGATGCTTGCAGTTGGCCTCAAAGGGTGAGGAGATGGGGTAGACATGGGTAAGGAGGGCTTGTGCTTCAGCTAATCTCATGATAGATATGGGTAGAAAGGGGCTGCTACAATTTACGACCTAAGGGCGGGTCTCGGAGGGGGAGATGAGTTCAGAGGAGGGACAGAACTCTTCAGAGGAGGGCACAGAAGAACTTCTTCTCCCGGAAGGGGTTTTCCGAAGTGGGCACAGGAGTGATGAGGGGATCCTCACAAGCGTGGGCATCACAGTAAGTCATCAGGTCTGCTGCTGCTTTGGACACCTGGGGCACAGCCAGGAGGGGAAACGTTAGCCAGAATATCTGAAAGGGACTGCAGCTCCCTTCGCCAAACAGGCTATCTTTTAGTTTCTAGTGCCCTTTGAGACAGTCCATCCCCTCATCCCCACAGTCCTTGGGAACAGCTTTGCTGACAATGCCCAATTTCTGCCTCTGACCTCAGGGTGTCAAGAAAAGAAGCATCTTTTCCCCGGGGTTTGAAAACCTACAGCTGAGGCTTGGAGAACTAGTGGGAGCCAGGGTCGCACCCACCTTTATCCGGCACAGGCTGGCCTCAATCTTAAGCTGCTCCACCATCTTGCGTGCTTGGCCGATACTCATGGTGCTGTTCACAGGGGTCTCTCCTTTCATCCTGGAGGAAAGACACGGCCCAGTACTCTCGGCTGAAGCACTCAGCTCTTCAACAACCACACGCCTGGGATTGTGCCCAATATTTTGCCCCCATGTTATCTCCACTCTGCAGTGGCCATTCTTTCTCTTTTTCTCAGTGGGGAGAATGGAGAAGAGAGAAATGCTCTCCAAATCCCTGGCTGGAGCCTGGTCACCAAACTATACAAATGATTTAAGGATTTCCAGTCTTTGAGCCAAGTATGTTACCAGCAATGAAAGCCTCAGTCAGAATGAGCCCCACCCTGATGAAATCACATCAGCCACCTGCCCCCTTAAACCCTAATGAGAGAGGAACAGGCTGTTCTCTACTCACCTGAAATGACAGGCGGCGGCAACAGCCTGGGATGTAGGGTCAGTGGGGAGGGGGCACCAAACCCTGCCTCAGAGAGGTGCCCCACCCTGCAGGGACTTGCAGCTAAAAATATCTGTAGCAATGACAGCTAATGCAGAGAAGGTCACTAGAGATGCTCAGACTGGAGGTCCTTGGAGGGGTGGTCTCAGTTTCTGCAGCTCAAGCACTCTCCAGATGCCTGGTACCTGAAGGATGAAGGATGCTGGAAGGAGCTGCTCAGATTCTGGCGCATACCAACTGCCTGGCCAGTGGGGGGGGGGTCTGGCTGCTATTTGTATCCCCTGTGCACACCCCCACTGTTACTATCTCATTACCTGCCCCTATCCATTGTAGAAGTCCTTAGTCTGAACTAGAGCCCTCTCCAAAGGACCTGAGGTGGAAGCAGGCTCCCCTCTTAAGTGGGGTGGTCTGGGCCTATGACAGCCCCTGCAGTAGAGTCTGTATCCGTTGCGGGAGACCCTGCTCATTTGAAAATCTGACATCAGCTGGGCTCCTGCCCCTCCCCCCGAACCCTGACACAGCACTCAGCACCTGAATCTTCCTTTCTTTCACAGTGACCCTCCATTCTGCATATCCAGGAAAATGTGACGTTCTACAGGTGATCAGCTTCTAGATCATCATTTTCTAGCCACAAGTGACTTGTGTGGGGATATCCAGGGGCAGCAGAGGTAACCATCAGGAAGATATCTAAAGAAATGATACAGCAAAGAAGAGAAGCTGGGGGAAAAGAGACATGCAGAGACCAGATCAAAAAAGGATCAGATAAAGAGGAGGTAAGGGAGGTACGGGAGCTAGTGTGAATATTATGAACACAGGTGGGTTTCTTGGAGTGGGGAGTAGGGTGGCAAGCGGTGGAATTGGGGAGATAGGGAATTGATTTGAAATTTTTCATGTAATCGGAGTAGATTGCTACTATTCAAAAAGATGTGCCTCCTGGAGGACATTGTCTAGAAGATGCCACCTTCAAAGACCTAGTCTGGTGTTTTGTAGGGATGCTGAGGTTGACTGCAGCAAGTGGGTCACAGGTCGATCATGCAGTGAAAACTGGAGACTGAAAGGGGCTGAAATGCTGCTACGCTTGACTAGCAGACAGCAAGCCATCTGCGCAAAAACACACGATTTGGGTTCTAGCTGTGTGCAAGGTTTTCAGGGCGAATGAGTCCCTCCCCCCCCCCCCCAACTCCCCTTGGACGCCTACAGGCCCAAGGACTTCTACTGAATAAAACCAGCACCCATGTCACCACCTCCACTCCACCCACCCCGCCTGCACCCGCATTCTGTCTTCTTGGGTGAAAAGGCCGGTGGTGAAGGTTTCAGCGGAGGGCCGTGATTGCGGCTTTGAAAGGCTGACCAAAGGGACACTGTTGAGTCTCAGCCTGCCTCCAGGATTATAGTGGGGTCTGGATGGGGAGTGCATTGCCCCTTGGGTCGCCAGTCGCCGAAGTGGAGTGGAATGCCCTTCTGGCAGGGACAGTGGGGGAGCACAAAATAGGAGCAGGGCATCTCACAGGCCCCGCCCCCTGCGCTGGGGCCCCGCCCCTGCGCGAGCCCTTCCCCTGCGCTTAACTGGCGTCTGACAGAAGGGGGCGGGGCTTCCCCGGCAGCCGGAACACGCTTCCCTAGGTTGCTTGGGCAGCCCGAGGCTGGTGAGTCGGCCTCAGTGCGGTGGCGGGCTGGAGTCCACCGCGTTACCTCAGGGGTGGGCGCTTCAGCGTCGCTCCGCGGGTGGGCCGCGGGGCGCTGTGCGGGGTAGGGATCGCCCCCTCGGTCAGCGAGGTCCAGGCGGAGGGGAGATCCTCGGGAGGCTGTGCGACCATAGGCAAGTCACTCATCTTCGCCTTGCAACCCCTGGCGTTGTGTATCCATGTCATCTGTGCTTTGAGAGAGTTTTAAGGTCCTCGTTCTGTGTATGGAATAATGCTGTGAATGTGTCAAGGAGGTTTTTCCCGGGCTCCGGTGACTGAAGGAAGGGATCCACTGGCAGGGGCTGGAAGGAAACCCAGTGGAGGAAGGTGAAGGAGTAATTGGAAGAGAAACGCATGTGGAACAATGGCTTTGCTTTGTCCTGCTATCTCTAGTTCCTCAAAGCCAGTTGAATAAACTTGTCTTCTTTGTCCCCAGCTCCCTGGGGAAAAAACCATTTTTGCCCTCCTCTTTCTCCAGGAACCTCCAGCTGCCCTATCCCATGGCCAAGGGTATCGTCCCTGTGGAAGGCCAGCCAGGAACTCAAAGCCTGAAGCTGGGGCCAGATCCTCTGCTGTCCCCATCATGGTCAATGACCCACCAGTACCTGCCTTACTGTGGGCCCAGGAAGTAGGCCATGTCTTGGCAGGCCGTGCCCGCAGGCTGTTGCTGCAGTTTGGGGTGCTCTTCTGCACCATCCTTCTCTTGCTCTGGGTGTCTGTGTTCCTCTACGGCTCTTTCTACTACTCCTACATGCCGACTGTCAGCCACCTCAGCCCTGTGCATTTCTACTACAGGTGAGGAGACGGCTCCCTTAAAGTAGAAGAATCTTACATTGAAAATTGCTCCAAGGACTCCTGGGTCATCCTCTGTCAAATCCCATTGTTGACAGAGGATGAAATGTTAGCCCAGTGTGCTAACAGGACTTTTCACCTCATAAGCCAAGGCTGGAGCAGGTCTGGGCTGGTAGGGCTCTAGGATTCTAGATCCACCTGTGCTGCTGAATTCTGATTAAAAACCTGAAGAAGAGCCTGGTCACATCTGTAGTTCCAGCACTTGGGAGGCTGAATTGGAAGGATTATCTTGAGTTCAGGCCAGCCTCAGCTACAGATTGAGACCTCGTCTCAAAGGAGTTTTTTTTTTTTTTTTTTTTTTTGACTAGAAAGAGAAAATTTACTTTTAGACTCAAATAATTAAAGTCTGCTCTGTATAGGTTGCATAAAACCTTTTAAGCCACTGTAGAATTTTGAGCCAATTTAACCCCTTGGGCATCTAAGAATTAGCCTGGCTTTTAGCACAGGAGGTATTAGGAAATGCGTCCTTTGCCTTTTAGTTTACTGCCACTTACCCCCCAGTTAATCTGCACAGTAACACCAGATAACTACCTTCTAGTTCATTCCCGTTTTACTCATGCTGCCAAACTCTCTGTCTGCCCCAGCAGTGGCTGTCGGACTAGTCAATCAACAAGTACAGAAAACAGTCTTGGTTTGGTTTGATTTCTGGTTTTTCGAGACAGGGTTTCTCTGTGAATCAGTCCTGACTGTCCTGGAACTCAGTCTGTAGACCAGGCTGGCCTCAAACTCACAGAGATCTGCCTGCCTCTGCCTCCCAAGTGCAGAGATTAAAGGCATGTGCCACCAACGCCCAGCCAGAAAACAGTTTTATTATTATCAATTTTAAATCTTTTTTTTTCCTGTCCCTAATCCCTAGCCATGTGCTGTCCTTTTCAAAGTAGATCTTAAACATTTAGGGAACATGAATCTTATTCATATAGGAGAGATGTCAGGCATGAGCTGTGTATCTATTTGTCATGTGTAATTTTGCCTATAATTTATCTTAAAAGATGTATCCATAGACCCTTTTGGAGGAATGTTTTCTTTTTTCAAACTAGGCCCGAGACCAGAACTGAATGGGAATCTCTAGGGGTTGGACCCTGAAATCTGCATGCCCTGAGCTCTTTAAGGGAGCCTTAGAAACACCTGAGTGTGCTTTGGTTCCTGCCTTTAGGTTCTGTTCTAATAAGGAAATAAACTGAAATAGTGGGAGGAGAATGAAAGCCTTGTTTTGAAATCTTGACTCTCTTGGCCACATTTGTTCTGGGTTTCCCTAATGGAGAAAAGGGATGGATGACAGGAGGGAGCCGAGAGACCAGGTGTGTGGGCAGGCAGGCAGAGGAGGTTCTGTCACTTCACAAAGTATCATTCCCTTCCCACTTAGGACAGACTGTGACTCCTCCACCACCTCACTCTGCTCCTTTCCTGTTGCCAATGTCTCGCTGGCTAAGAGTGGACGTGATCGGGTAAGTATGAGAGCCAGAGAGAAGAACCAGGAAATCTTTGATGGCTTGAGAAAGATGTGGAGAGCAGGGATTGAGCAACAGAGATTTAGGAGAAAGGCTCTGAAGCAAACGGAGTTGAAAAGAGAGTCTGACTGTTGGTCCCGTCACTGTGGCATGTACCTGTAATCCCAGCACCAGGAGGAAAAGGCAGGGAGATTAAGTCCAAGCTTGAGGCCAGCTGCAGAGCCAGACCCTATATCCTCCCAGAAGAGAAAAAGGAGGGTCAGGGCTAAGTCCCAGTCGGTAGAGTACTTGCCTCATATGTGTGAGGCCCTGGATTCAATCTCCAGTGTCAAGTTAAAATCCAAATGACATGTATGCAGCAAGCGTTAGGAATGACCCCATCTTGCACTGGTCACTTGAGTCATAGCTCCTTGTTAAAGTTTGTGTTTTAGGTCCAGTTGAACAAATCAGCTAGTTGGAACAGCATGGCATCCACTCAGGTATTAGAAGCTAGTATGTAAGGCCAAGTGTGGTGGTCCATGGCTTTAATTCTGGCACTTCTGAAGCAGAGGCCAGCCTGATATACACTGTGAGTTCCATCCTAGTCAGTGCTACATAATAGTGAGACCCTGTTTTTGTTTTTGTCTTTTAAAAGAAAGAAAGAAAGAAAAGAAAAGCTGCAAGGTTATACAGAGAATCTGTGTCTCAAAAAACCAAAAAAAAAAAAAAAGCTGAGCCAGGCAGTGGTGGCTTGCACCTTTAATCCCAGCACTAGGGAGGCAGAGGCAGGCAGATCTCTGAATTTGAGGCCAGCCTGGTCTACATAGTGAGTTCCAGGACAGGCAGGGCTATACAGAGAAACCCAGTCTCAGAAAACAAAAATAAACAGACAAAAAGCTGGTATATAAAATTATGAAATGATTAACAAGTATGTGTTACCTATTATCACAAAGGGTACCATGCCAGAGGACTGGCCAGATGCCAATGTGCCTAAAAGAAACCTGGGAGCATGACAAGTGTACATGGAGACAGCCTTCTCTACTTGGCAGGCTGTGAATGTTCTGATAAAGGATAGGATTCCAAACTTTAAAAGGACCTTGAGGATCAGTGTCAGTTTTTATTACAGGAATTATTTTAGTTATCAATCATAACTTGAAAGTTACTTTTTAGAAATAACATTTAAGAAGAAACTTACTTTATGATAGTGTGCCAGCTCTTGCACAGTGTTTTTTTTTGTTTATTTGTGTGTTTGTTTGTTTGTTTTTCCAGACAGGGTTTCTACATGTAGCCCTGGCTGTCCTG